ACCTGTTTCCGAGGAGGCTGTTGAGATTTGTGTGCTCTTGAAACCAAGTTTGCTTAAAGACATGGATGCATGTGCCAAGTTTGTTGATGGCGTTAAAGGGGTTGTTTGCCCAAGTTCTTTCGCGAAGCATACGACCAAATATAGGAGGACTGCTCTGCTTGCTATGATGTAGAAAACGGTGATCTTGGCAGCCGAGTCTATGCTCTTTGACCAATAAGATACCAAGGCTTCCAAGGGGGTGGCAAAAACTATGACAGCCGAAGCCTATTCCTCGGCCGAGAAGGTCAAAAGGTTGAAATCTGAACTTGCTGTTTTGAATGGGTCTAATATCTCTGCCCCCACTTTTATGCAACTTGAGACCTCTTACCAAGAGATCGTGGATTTGAAGATTAGGCTTGACACGATCTAAGTTAAGTATGAAAATGCAGAGAATGAGACTGAAGTTTACATACCTCAGATTCAAGACCTTGAGCGTGCCGTCTCTGAGCTTCGCTTCACTACTTACGCAAAGGATGAAGAGCTGATTACTGTTTATAATCAAGTGATCCACTTCAAGAAGGTCGTGGATAGGCTCGAACCTCAAGTGTTGGAATTCCAAGGTGCCTTGAAGATTAACGAAAGTTTGAAGAAAGAAGTGGATGAGTTGCAGCGTGTCCGTGTTGGTCTGCTTGAGGAGAATGAACAGTTGAATGGTGAGAATGCTGGGTTCAAGGCTTCGCTTACTCAGAGTCAAGCTAATATCTATAGAGATGGGTTATGTAGATCATCTATTTGGTAGGTCATTTGACTTTGAGTTTGCTAGGAAAGACTTCGAGACCTTCTCTATTTCTCTGGAAGATTTGCTTGCCTTTACTTTTGAGGCTTTCATTGGTGAAGTAGTTGGAGAAGTTGGTGCTAAGGCTGAGGCAGCAGGGGGTGAAGCGCCGAATGGTGTCGCTGTTGAGAGTGTTTTAGCTGCTGAAGGTGTAGCGACCAAATAGCCGTGAGGTGTCCAAGCTGCTGAAGAGTAATCTTCTAGGTAGTTTTTAAGATTTTCTTCATTTTCCTTGTTGTTTTTTGCTTTGCTCGAACTTCTTCGGTATTTTCCAGTTGTTTATCAATTTTGCTATAAAATTTAATAAACTTGCTTCATTTGCTTTTCTTCATCTTCGTTTTTTTTGTTCTTGCCTAACCTTAGACTTTTTAGACCAGTGGCAGACGTGCTACTTTTCTATAAGTAGACAGGCCCGCGTAGCTTATGCAGTCGTAGACGTTAGTGTAGAACTTTTGTAAGGTTGTTTGCCATAGGGTCGGTAACCGGACGCCTTACTTACAGAAGTAGACGAGCCTGCGTGACCACTTGGCTGTTAACCTTGGCTTTCTTCGATCTTTTGAGTTGTGTGGCCTGCATCACAACATACTTTTTGTAACCAATTTTGTGGGTTACATAGTAAGTATCACAACACTTTAGGAATTAAAGTAGATTATTCCGCGCTTTGGCAGAAATTAAGCTTATCGACTGCGTAACATGTCGGTAATGGATGAAGCTTCGTATATACGCGCTAACTTGTTTAACCTTTCACAAAAACATACGGTTGTATAAGTTTAACAAGACTTACTGCTCGAAGGGTAAGCCGTAGGCAGTTTTCTGAAAACCGTTGGCTACGATAGTGCACTCGGTAGCAGCTTCAGGGTTCTAGTGTAGCCGTCCATAAGGCGTACTGCATATTGTGCCTCTTCTATCTCTAAGGCCTAGTTTTTCGCATATTAGGCCAAGAGACCAAAAATCCTTCAGTTAGCTAAGCCTTGAAAAATATCATTATGGCTACTTTTAGGAATCCCGGTGTAAGCCATCGTGCACCTAGTTATACCAGGGTAGCCTGGCTCATCCATATTTGGATATTCAGAGTGTAAGTTTATCCTCTCGATTTGGAGAACAGACCTATGTGGATGTTGGGGAATTAGTTTACCCTCTCGCATTGGAGAGCATGATTGGTCCCTCGGGGAGGGGGGCTTAATTCCTAAGATGAGTCTCTAAGAAGGGCGAGATCTTCTTTTGAAGTGCAAGAGTGATCGGTTGTTGTAAACATGTAGTCGAGCTAAGTTGTAAATTATTTTTGAATTCCTCATTGAAAAACGAGTGAAATGAACGAAACTTAGCTGTAAAATAGAGTCTACATAACAACTGGATAATCCTCGACTCACAAGGTGGTGCCCGTTGAGTTGCTTGAGTCTTTAGGCTTTGGTGTAATGGGAGGTCACACATGGTACTTCCTCAGATTGTAGGCGTTCCACTGTTTTTCGATCTCTTTGCCTTTTATGGTGGTAAATGTGTAATTACCCTTGCTGCCCACACTGCTAATCTTGTACAGACCTTCCCAGATGATATCCATCTTCGGGTTGGAACTGTCAGATCTTGGCTCTTTTGTTGTAGCTGGAGGGGAGTTGCTGCGGGTGATGGTCTGCTCGCGCTTCTCCTCGTTTGGTAGTGCGATACACCCATAGACATCCAGGGAGTTCATCTGCCAGATCTTGTTGGATACTTTGGGCTGCCCATTGCCTTGAGAATATCTCGACATAGATATGTGCTGCTTGGTGCCATACTTTTGGAAGAACTTTGCCCAAATCTTTGCCTAAGAATTGCGGGCTGTTGTCTATGACGATGGATTGAGGGATGCCAAATAGACAAATGATATTTCTCCATATGAAGCGCTATATGTCCGTCTGAGTCATGGTCGTCATAGGCTCTGCTTCTACCAATTTGGTGAAGTAATCGGTTGCCATGATCATCATGCCTCTGCCCCTAGTAGCGGGCGACATTGGCCTTACCAAGTCGATTATGCATTGTATGAATGGCCAATGACTTGTCTGCGGTTGTAGTTCGTTGGCAAGCAGTGTTGGTACCAACTTATAGCATTAACAACGATTGCACTTTCGTACGAATTTTTTAGCATCTTGGTGCATGGAAGGCCAGTAGTAGCCTACGTTAAGAACCTTATGTGCTAAGGATCAGCCTCCAGAGTGATTTCCACAAACGCCTTCGCGGATTGAGCTTAGAACCTTTAGGTCGTCGGGAGGCACTAAGAAGTGGAGATGTGGTCCGGTATAGGATCTTCGGACGAGAATGTCATTCCACATGTAGTAGCGAGCCGCCTTTATTTGGAGCTTTCTAGACTCCAATTTTTTCGTGGGGAGTGTGCCATTAACCAGGTAGTCTATAATGGAACTTTGCCAGTTTGGAGTTATACTAACCTGTGACACCTCGGTTGCTGGCTCTGCCTCTATGCTTGGCTTATCTAATAAAGCATTTGAGTTGATGGTCGAGAAGGAGGCTAGGTCAGCTAGCGCATCCGTATGGGCATTGTCAACCTGCGGAACTTGAGTGTCGTTATAAGTTTGAAACGCCTCAAGTTTATTTTGTACCTTCTCTAGGTATTGCGCCATCTTTAGATGTTTTTCCATTTACGCCCTAGTAGTATGACTGGTGATTAGTTGGGAATCGGAATAAATTGTGAGCTTTTTCACAGCCAAGTTTTGCCATTCGGAGGCCTGTTAGTAGGGCCTCATACTCTGCTTCATTGTTAGATGCTTTATAGCCTAGAGTGATCGCCTGCTCGAGCATCGAATCGTCTGGGGTGACAAAGACCATGCTTGCTTTTGAACCTTTGTAGTTCGATGTGCCATCGACATGCAAATGCCAGAAGTCTCTATTAGGTGGAGCAGAAGCGGTTAGGGTGTGCTTGGCTACCTCCGGGACGTCGTCGGGTAGCTCTGTTGCGTCGCCTAGTCTAGGCGTGAATTCTGCTATAAAGTTTGCCAAAGCTTGGGCATTTATTGTAGTGCAAGGTCGGAAAACTAAATCGTATTGGCCAAGTTCCACCGTCCATTTCATCACTTGTTGAGAAACGTCTAGACAATGTAGGATTGATCGTAGATGATATTAAGTTATGACGACGATTGTATGAGCTTGAAAGTATTGTTTGAGCTTTCAAGTCGCAATAACTAGCGCCAAAATTAATTTATCGATCTTTGGATATCTAGTTTCCGAATTGAGAAGAGCTTTAAAAGTGTATAATACCTGCAGTTGGGCCCCCAGCTCTTCTCGTATGAGGGCAAAGCTCACTGCTACTTCTAAGACTGTTAAGTAGATGTATAAATCCTCCGCTGCTTTTGGCTTGGATAGTAAGGGATGGCTTGGATAGTAAGGGATGTGATGTAACATACTTTTTCAGTTTTGGAAAGCTTTTTCGCACTCTTCATCCCATTTGTCTCATTGTGCCCTCTTGATGGCCTTGAAAAAGGGTTTGCATCGATCGGTGAACCGCGAGAGAAAGCAGTTAAGGGCGGCTGCTTGTCCTGTCAAGCTTTGAATCTTCTTCAAGGTAGTTGGAGGTTTCATCTCTAGGATCGCTTGGATTTGCTTGGCTTACTAGGTACCCTAAGAATCTGCTTGAAGATACTCCAAATGTGCATTTGGCGAGATTGAGCTTCATCTTGCACTTTCTAAGGATGTTGAAAGTTTCCGCCAATTTGCCAAGGTGGTCTGACTTCTGCTCGCCTTTTATGATAATATCGTTGACGTAGACCTCCATGATTACTCCAATTTGTTTCTTAAACATCATGTTTACCAATCTTTGGTAAGTGGCTTCAGCGTTCTTGAGGCTAAAGGGCATAACCTTGTAGCAGTAGGTGCCTTGCTTGATCACGAACTCGGTTTTCTCCTTGTCGGGCTCGTACATGACTATTTGGTTGTAGTTGGAGTATGTGTCTAAGAAACTGAGCAGCTAATTCCCAGAAGTTGAATCTACTAATAGATCGATTCGGGGAAGTGGATAAAGATCCTTTGAGCATGCTTTGTTAAGGTCGGTGTAGTCTACGCAAACCCTCCACTTGCCCTTATCTTTCTTCTTCATTAGTACGACTTTGGCAAGCTATGCTGAGTGCGCTACCTCTTCTATAAATCCGACTTCTAGTAGCTTGTCAATTTTCGCTTCGATGATGGCTACTCGCTCGGATGCGAAATGTCTTCTCTTTTGAATTACCGGTTTGGCAGTGGGGTCGACGTGCAGCTTGTGGCAAGCTATCTTGGGGTCGATGTTGGGCATATTGGAAGGTGACCACGCAAAGACGTTGTGATTTTCCCTAAGGAAAGCTGTGAGTTCCTCATTTTCCTTCGAGCTTAAACGTGAGCCAATTCTAACCTTCTTCTCCGGCTGCTGGGGATCAAGAATGATGTGCCCGACGTCTTCTTCGGGTTTCCATCCTGTCTTATCTGCTGGCACATTGTTTTGGACACCATTTTCTTGATTCGCTTGTTGTAATTACTATTTGGTAGTTTCGTCATCCCCTTGGACCTCGATTGCCTACGGGGGTAAATGTCTTTATTTTATTTTATTCCTTCAGTACTTACACAGTACATCATCGAGATGCGGCCTAGTCAAACTTGATTTCTTCGATTCCTCCTCCTGGGATACGGAATTAGATTTTTTGATAATTGACGGAAGTGACGGCATCCAGCTTTATTAGCCAAGGTCTCCATAGAATCCCATTGTAGGGAAACGGGTCGCTTACTATTGTGAACGTCTACTTTGAGACAACTGGCAGTGTTTTCATGTCAAGTGTGATGTGGCCGATGGTAGTTGGGGTGTGTTTGTTGAATCAGATGAGTACCTCCACTCGACTTATGATTGTGCTTTCCATGCCCATCTTCTGAATTACTGAGAGCTGAAGTAGCTTAACTCCACTTCCATTGTCCACCATCATTCTGTTGACTATGGCATGAGCCAGTTGGACATATACTATTAGTGCGTCGTCATGTAGGAAATCTACGCCTTTGGCATCCTGCTCGGTGAAACCAAAAATGGATCCAGGTTGGGTGTTGGCTGCCTAGATTTGTGAGACTAATAGAGCCTGCTGGATTTTCCTCTTCTTGGAGTTGTTGGTGACCCCCAAGTGCTTAGATTCGGCCAAAATGCCATTTATTCGAATCGTCTTGTTGGGCAGTTCTTTGTAGACATCCGCTGTAATACCCTGAAAATTTAAATATATGGAATAGAATATTCACAATTATGAATATGTGGAGAAAATCGAAAATAAATCGATTTATGGTTATGAAAATTTAATTGAGGAATTTTAAAATTTTGTTACCGGCAATTATTATAGTTTACGTACTAGTATTATTGAGATTTTATATTATTTTTCGAGAATTTATATTAATTTATTTGAATTGAGTTTTAAATTAAACTAGTTACGAAGTTTGAAGTTTGGAAATTAATTATCTAAAATCCGCAGACCCTTCTAGGTCACAATTTATATATTTAAATAGAGCTCGATCTCACGAACGCGTAGGCACAAACCTTCGTGAAACAGAGTTATAACGAATAAGTTATTAACATTGAAAGTCAGGGATATTTTTGTAATTTTAACCTTCTTTAGAAGGCTCCAGATTTTCTGGAGCCATGTGATGTGCCATGTGTGTGGTTGGGATAAAAGAAAAAGGAAAGAAGAGAGAGAGATGGACGACTAGGATGAGAATGAGAGAAGAGAAAAGAGAGAAAGGAGGAATGGGACCGACCAATCAGGAAGAGAGGAAATGAGAGGAAATGAGGGGAAATGAGGGAGACGAAAAAGAGGGAACCGGATCCCTCTTCGACCTGCCAACCTGACACGACTATATCTCCTAATTTTGGCCACCGCTGACGATGGGACCGGTGCCAAAATGATCCTTACTTTGAACCTAATCGTTCTCTTTCCCATGTTAACTTGAAAAATTGATGAAATTGGGTGGATTTCAAGAGAAACCATACAGGGGGTTAGACAGGTTTGGCTTTGATTCACCAAAATCTAAAGCTAACTCCATCCGTCACCACCACCAATAGTCTTCCCTCAATGTTAGGAATAAAGCCCAAACATTGGTTGGGGCGTCGGAACAGTTTTGGAGCCGAATCAAGAACACCCAATTCAAGAGTTTCCAGTAATTCAAGAGCGATTTGAGGTGTTTCCCGGCCGAATTACTTTTTCTAGCTTGATCAAGGCTTGTGCCAACCAAGCTGCACTTGTTCAAGGCATCCAGCTTCACGCTCAGGCGGTTAAAGTTAATTTGGATAGAGACCCTTTTGTTTTCTCTGTTTTTGTTGATATGTATGGAAAGTGCGGGCTGCTTGATGATTCAACCCAAGTGTTTCACGAGATAGAAAACCCGAATGAAGTTGCATGGAATTCATTGTTAGTTGTGCTTGCTCTTCATGGCTTAAATTACTTTCATTCTATGGAGAAAACATATGGAATAGTTCCTAGAGATGAACATTACTCTTGCGTTATTGATTTGCTTGGCCGGGCTGGAAGGCTTACAGAGGCAGAAGAATTCATAAACAGCATGCCAATCCCACCAAATGCTTTCGGGTGGTGTTCTTTTCTCGGGGCTTGCAGGATTCATGGTGATAAGAAGAGGGGCAAACTGGCAGCAGAAAAACTGATGCAGCTTGAACCTGAGAACATCGGAGGACATGTTCTGCTTTCGAATATATATGCCAAGGAGCAGCAATGGGAAGATGTGAAGAGTGAGAGGAAGATGATGAGAGATGGCACCATGAAGAAAGTGCCGGGGTATAGTTGGGTTGATGCCGGAAACAAAGCACATACTTTTGGAGCCAAAGATTTGTGTCATCCTCTTAAGAAAGAAATTTACGATAAGCTTGATACTCTCCTTGATCAGATAAAGAAAGCTGGATATGTTCCACAAACAGATTCCATTCCACATGATATGGATGATAATGAGAAGGAAAAGGTTCATCATCACAGCGAGAGGATATCGATTGCATTTGCGCTAATAAGTATGCCTGCTGGGAAGCTGATCATCGTGAAGAAAAACATAAGGGTGTGCCTGGACTGCCATTCTGCAATCAGGTACTTCTCCAAGGTGGCAGGGAGAAAGATCATCGTTAGGTATAATAATCGGTTTCACCATTTCAAAGACGGGCTGTGTTTGTGTGGAGATTACTGGTAGTGTTTTGAAAGCTGAATCATTAGTTGAGGGATTTATTGACCAGAAGCCAGAGCTTCTATGGAAGAAATGCTATAGATGACTTGGGACCCGTTTGGCAAGGAATTTAGGAAGGCCAAAATCGCTTTCAAAGAATCAAAAGCATTGGTGACAATGTTTGGTAGAAAAACTTAGTGCATATGGAATATAAAAAGCACTTGAAGCGACCATGTGAAGCATGAAAAACACTTTCTCAGTTCCAATAGAAATTTGCTGCTGACAAAAGTGCTTCCTACAAAAGTGCTTAGGACCATAAGTGTTCTCTACAAAAGCACCATTGCCAAACGGGCCTTTACTCATCAAGAAGGAAGAACGGGATTTTCAGACAAGAGCATGTAAGAAGACAACCCTTTGACCTTCACCTTGAACTTGGAACACAACCAACCCTTTCACTAAGATTGGAACAAATTGTGGGTGTCTAACGTCTAATTATGCTTTTGACACCCAACAAATTGAGTGAGTTATTTTCGTGCAGACTTTTCTCCGCCTACATACTTTTGTTCATTTCTGCTATTTGGTTTGAAGCGAAGAATAAAAAGAAGTGTGCGGAAATTATCTCCCTTTAAATTGCTCCTGCAATGTGATAACTCATTGACAAAATTTCAATGACTGTTGCTTCTGATAGAATTTTCTCTGAAAGAAGCCATTCATGATTTCTTCATAAGTTCTATCTCACCTTCAAGAGTGAAAACGCTGTACATGCCAATGGCGTTTATTCAAATCTTCGGTGAAAAACAAGATCTAAATGACTCGAAAATGGGAAACATACACTCGGATGAGGATGCACTCATATAATATCAAGGCTAGAAACCGCTAACAAATGGCATTTCGAGGATCTATCGTCTAGTATCTACAGAGGCGTATTTAAATCCCTCGGATGGATGCTGAGGTGAAGAGGTCTGGAGGCATGAGGCATGAGATCAAGCTCTTGGATAACGGGAGCCCCCTTTTTTCTTCAAGAAATCAGGAATCTCAACTGCACTACCTTCCATGAAAGAGGATGGCCGTCGATTGATTCCAAGGGTGACATCTCCTTGTGCCTGCATTTTGGTAGAGTTTACAAAATTGTTTAAGAGAGGGTGAGAGTTAGTGCATGTGTGCGCGTGAGCGTGGTGGGGCATGTGTTAAGGAATACCTGGAGTGTCCTGCCTTCATTTTCTTCTTGGCGTTTGAATCCAGTAGCAATAAGAGTTATACTGACCTGTGAAGACAAACAACATGGAATTTTAAGATGTATTCAAACCACAAACCACAGGTGGAACATTAACCGAGCATGTATATTTGTTTACCAATTTGTTACCAATGATACGCTTTTAGATGCAGATATGCAATCCTCTGTGATCATGCCATAACGATTGGAACAGCAAATTTTACTATGTTCAACAGAAATCAGGAAGCTTTTGGAAGATGGCATATGCGATTTTCTTTTGGTACCATGTTCTCTTCAGAGAAAGAGAGAACAAATACTTACTTGGCCACTGAGAGATGGATCTGTCACTGCTCCAAATATTAAATTTGCTGTAGGATCGACAAGATCATATATAACCTCAGCTGCAGCATTTACCTATGAGAATTTCCCCATTTGAAATTAGAGAGTAAGAGAAGAGAAATACAACACCATATCAAGTTATCAACTGCGAAATGGATGCAATGGTGAAACTGTAAGAATAATTTTGAAAGACAGCTTTATCTCACAGAAACATGGAAGACCAGACTTCAACGTGGAACGGATTTTCTTTTACAAAGATAGATGGAAAGGATCTTATACAGAAAACAAACAATTTCAGCCCATGACTCCATAGATAGAACCAAAAAGCAGAGTAAGAGTGAGAGAGAAGATGAAGTACCTCATAAAGGGTCAAATCCGTTCCCCCAGTTATGTTCCAAACAATTCCAGTCGCCCTCTCGATACCAATATCTAGTAAAGGTGATTGGATGGCATTTAATGCAGCGTCTCTTGCCCTCGTCTTCCCTGCTCCAAGAAAATACAAAGCTCAGAAAAAAATCATAGCACAAAACTAAGAAAAAGAAGTTTTGGGTTCATCAATACTGAAACGAATAGGCTTGACAACGATGTATCCTAACATAATTAAGGAAGAAAGAAGTTTTGGGGTCATCAATAATTCGAATCTTAGACCGAAAGACCTATTTGAAATTCTAACAAACTTGAGATTATGTCTCCTTTCTGACCTTTCCTTCTCATGCTCTAACAAAAAAAACTGAGAAGTTCTAGATGCCATTTATTCTGTATTAACTTCACAAGAAAGTTAGCCACAATGGTGTCATTCAGGAAGGCAATAACCAAAATAATCAAGTCTGATATTAAAAGTGAAGCCAATAATTTGATATAAGCACTCCAAACATCCTAGCAGTATGTAGCTAAAGTATTACCAGTTGCAGTTCCTATCCCCATCAACGAAGAACCTGCATTGGCCATTATAGCCCGTACGTCTGCAAAATCCACATTTACCAGTCCTGGTATCTGCAATCAAGATGACAAACCATCAATTATAGTAACAAACTATTGCCCAAAAAAGGGAAATGCAATGATCCACAAATAAATAATCAAAACCCTTGATAGACTAGATGAATGGTCTTAACAGTCAGAAGTTAAGATTACACTTCAATATACAACATCTTTAAAGATCACCATACCGTGATTATATCTGAGATGCCACGAACACCTTGTCGTAGAATATCATCGGCCAGATTAAATGCCTCCGTTACTGGGGTAGATTGGGAAACTGCAGTCAATAACTTGTCATTTGGAATGACTATCAGTGTGTCAACGTTTTCTCTCAGAGCTGCGATTCCTTCCTGGGCTTGCACTGCCCTTTTTCGTCCCTCAAAAGAGAAAGGGGTTGTCACGACACCAACTGTCAATATACCCATTGACTTTGCAACGCCTGCAACTATAGGAGCTCCACCAGTTCCAGTTCCTCCACCCATTCCCGCCTGCATATGAAGATATTTAATGTCAAGTGCAGAAATGCATAAATTAGACAAATGTTGGGAAGTCACGACAGAGGAATAGCATTTGAACCTACCGTAACGAAGACCATGTCTGATCCATACAGTGCTTCTTCTATTGATTCTTTGCTTTCTTTTGCAGCGTTCATACCAATATCTGGGTTTCCACCAGCTCCAAGACCCCTGGTAAGTTCTTGACCAATTTGTAAACGGTTCTCGGGAAAGACAGGAGACATTTTCATGGCTTGAATATCAGTGTTAAGAATCCAGAACTCCACACCCTTCATTGCACTCTCTATCATGCGATTAACTGCATTTGACCCTCCACCGCCAACACCAATAACTTTGATTTTTGCTTCACCATTACTAGGGGAAGATTTGTCACTTAAACTCTCAGTGACACCTTCACCTGAAATATCTTTTCTAGGGTTGCTCAATGTATTGTTTCCCTCTCTAAGCAATGAAACTTCAGGGTGTAGATTCAGAAAAGGGTCTCTATTATTCTGATATGAACCGACACTCTTAGAGTTGATTGAGCACTTAACATGAAGCAAACTTGACTTAAGGTTTACACCCATAAAACCGTACTCCTCAGGCACTTTTAAGCTGCTAACTCTTCCCAAGTGATTCTCCGTTCCAAAGTGACCCCCAAGTCTTGTTAGTACCCCCACCGGGTTTCTAGTATCAGAAAGGGTAACATAATTCGATGCATAAGTCGCCATCATGTAAAAGCTGAGACTTTAAATCTCAGAGACAGGTAAGCTGATGAATGCCAACAAATTTAGAAACCCAAATGACTTAAAATTTCAGTTCCACCACAAATCTCTCTCCCAACACCTGTTTACAAAAAAACCAGATAATTGTAAGAAACCACAATACGTAGCAGATTAATTACAAACACTAAAAGGCCAGCAAATGGTAAAACGTCACTAGTCAACTAAACCCAAATCAAACACAGACCCCATAAACTTCATAGCACGCATTACAATCCCAGATAATTACAACCCGAAAAGCAAAACCCACAGCAACTTTGCAACTCAAAGTAACTATGGAGTTAACAGCAAGAAAGCAGAAAACAACTAGAAAAACAAACCAGAGAAATGTAAGACCCCATAAACTTCATATGGCACATTACGGTCACCAGACAAAAATTACAACTGGAAAAGCGAAACCCAACAACAATTAGGCGAAATTCAATAGAACTATGAAGTTAACAGCAATCAAGCAAGCAGAAAACAATGAGAAAGAAGCAAACCAGAGAAATGTAAAACCCCAAAAGACAACAATTATGTAAAATTCAATGCAACCATGAAGTTAAACAGCATCAAGCAAGCAGAAAACAGTAAGAAATGAACAAACCAGAGAAATGCAGAACACACGGAGACCCAAATTCCAGAAAACAAGAAGGAAACAGAGAAATGGGCAGCTGGGGTTTCAGAGAAAGTTAAATCCGAAGAGACCTAGGAAGCAGAAAACAGAGAACTCCTGGGAGCATTTGGGGGCGTAGAGCCCAAAGAGCCAGATTTGGACTGATGATTGCGAGTTGATCGACGAAGATAGAGAAGCGTAGGAAGTGGAAAAGGAAGCAACAAACCAACTAAGAATATTGAGAAATCTGGTTGAAAGGGGAAGTAAATGCGATTTGGTGGTTTGGATTTTCAGGTGAAAGGCATGCTGGTGTGGGCTCTTGTGAAAACAGCACAAAGTCTGGCAAAACACTATTTCAGTGACAAGGGTTTAACTGTTGGGCTGTGTTTCTTATTTCTTCAAATTCTTGTGTTCATTAGTTGGGCCCAATTGTAGAGTCTAAGTGAGCATCGGAAATGAGAAGAGCACGTTTGATCACCAGACATGTCTGACCACTCAACATTGATACGTTTCGATTATGAACATATAATTTGTATTTGATTATCGGTATTTCAATGGCATACCTGTTGATGTGCTTGTCAGTGAAATGTTACATGAGAAATAATTGACAACGTAAAATCCTCTTATTTGACATAGTTTGATTGACACTGATCACTATTACTGTTAGGTTCGACACAGAAGTCACCGCATGATGTCACATAAAGCTTTTTACAGTAAATCGAAAATTTTGAATTTAATTCTTATGAATAGAATGAAATTCATATTTATAAGAATCAAAATAAAAGTGCCTGAACATACTAATACATATACAGACCGCACAAACCGCTGTAAAAGGCCTAAAAGAACTACAATTAAATACCGACTATTATTGTTAGTGGTCACTAAACGCGTCAATAATAATTTCGATTCTCACTTCCTCTCAACGAAAAAAAGAATAATCTCGCTTAAAAAAAAAAATATCTTTGACACTCAAAAAATATAATTTTACACCCTTTTTTTTTTCAAAAATAAAAATTTAGAATGCACAATTAAAATTTTGAAAGCCAAGAAAACCCACATATAAACATTTCAGGGACAGGGAGGTAATTATATCACAAGCGAATCTATTGCGACACGCAATGTTGTTTCTGCCGTCCACGGAAACTTCCAGAAACTTGTTCAAAACGCAACGTAGAGCGGCACGAAATGACGGAACTACCCGGCGCGAGTTTCCCACGGTTTTGCCTTTAGATCCCAAGAGGGAAAAATCTGGGAAGAAGAGAAGACATAAAAAATCCGACCGATGGCTTCTCAAATTCTGGCAGCGGCAGCCGAGAGGATCGGACCGGCGGCGAGGCGACAGGCCGTGAGCTTGACGGACGCGGCGTCGAATCGGATAAGGCAGCTCCTAGAGCAGCGCCGGCGGCCATATCTTAAACTCGGCGTCAAGGCTCGCGGCTGCAACGGTTTGTCCTACACTCTCAATTACGCAGGTGCGACGCCGTTTCGATTCTGATCGTCAAGTTTCTTCTTTTTCTTGAATTTTGCTGAGTTGAATTGTGAATTTTGTAAATTAATTTGCACATTTGTAGATGATAAGGGTAAGTTTGACGAATTGGTGGAGGATAAAGGTGTGAAGGTTTTGATCGATCCGAAGGCTCTGATGCACGTCATAGGAACGAAGATGGATTTTATAAATGATAAACTCAGGTAAATCTTCTCTTCCTCTTTTTTTCCCCAATTTTTTCTCTTTTTTGGGTGGATTTGTGGGAAAATTATTAGCATGTTTGGATTCTGAGAATTGTTTGGTTTTGATTTGAATTGGGGGTGTGTAAATTTTTGGTTTTTGTTTGGTAGAGAAAATGAACTTTTGCTGTGTTAGAAGTGGAATAGGCTTTTTTGTATTTATTTCCAGTGTCAATTTGATGTTAGGATGCTAAACTTGTGTATCTTAAGGATAATAGGTCTTCGAATTTCGGGTTGAATTCCGGACAATATATGAGTTTTCACCTTGAGATGAACCAAGAGTCTTGGGGCCTGTTTTGGATTGCTTCTGGAAAGAGCCAAAACTGCTTTCTGGCAACCAAAAATGCTTTTAATTAGGTTGGCAGAAAAACTTAAAAGCGTTTTTTTGGTTGTGGAAGCACTTTCGGTGCTGTAACTTATGAGAAGCAATCTCAAATGAGCTCTTGCAACCGTATGACATTCAGTAAGCTGATGTGCTGAAACTGACTATTTTGTGGGGGGTGGGTATATTGCCATTTTATCAACTCTAACATCGTCCCAACGAAGCCTCTGCTGCCTTGTACAATACCTAGACTGCTTAGCACTGATATTATCAACATCAGCTTTAGGTCTCCACCCTCCTTAACTAGATATTAAATTGCCCATAATGTCACCTTCGCTGATGGTCAGCCTTCCATTCCTGTCCTCACAACTATCGCATGAACATTTCATTAAGACCGACAGAGGACCATGATTTTAGGGTTCATCACCTCCACTGCTGCCATTAGTACTTCAACCTCTGTTTACTGTTGCATGCACGTGTTGTGCGCATTCAATGGGAATGTGCATGTTAAAAGGGTGGCTTCCATGCGCGTGTTAGGAGAGATTATGGTACATGTGTATCCATTTTTACCTGAGCAGAAACCAAACCATGAAGAAAGATGGTCTGCTAATTTTCTTTTGCTTGCGTATTTTTTTTGGGTATATTTGCTTGCCTTGTTACTCCATGAACAAGTACTTAAAATTGGGAATCTTGACACCTTTGTTTCAAAAAAAGCAGCTGAATGGCATGGTATTTAGGTCACTCGTTGATCAGATAAAATGTTTTTAAATTCAACTGCCGTGGGTACTGATGTCTCCTTTTCATTTGTTGGTGGTGCATTGATACAATCAGGATATGCCCTTGGCTCCACAACTTTCTTGCTTATGCCTTCAGTCACCGTTGCCTTCCTGCTTTTCCTCACGCGTAATTTATTTACTTTGGCAGGTCTGAGTTTGTATTTATCAATCCCAACTCTAAAGGACAGTGTGGTTGCGGGGAATCGTTCATGACAACAGGCAGTAGCGGAGCTACGAAGAAGGTTTAAAGAATCGTATGGCCAGCTAGTGACGAACCAAGACTTTCACTGATTAATTATTTGTGTTGGTGCCGGCGTGAGCCATTTTAGTCTGTGCTAACTCGGGTCTGAAGTTGGCATTCTTCTGTAAAGATGATTCCAATTTTGTTTGGGAGAACACATTGTATATCTATAAAATTTTGTGCTTCTTGAAATTATATGAACTTTTGTAATGTCAACATGTAAAAGCTGCTGACTTGTGGAAATTGCGTTGACGAGATTGTTATTTTTCACTTATAAGTGAGAGGTTGCATATTCGAATTTCATGACTGGCATGTTTGATCTCTTACCTCTTAGTGTAGATATATCACTATATAAAATGAGTTATGGATCTTAGATATATCACTATATAAAATGAGTTATGGATCTTACTCCGGTTTTTCAGATGGGGTTATAGTTTTCACTCTTGAGGGATTTTGTTTTTCATTGATATGAGCCATATCGTGTACTGGAAAATTGAACACAAAACCTCGAGTACGAAAGTGAATTTTCTTAATCATTTGAGCTACAATTGATTTTTTGAGCCACTTCGTTTTTCTGATTCTCAAACAATCTCACTTATAGTAGTCTACCTTTGTCGAAACTCAACATTTTTTCCAATTGAGGTAGGAATTAGCATGCATGTAATGGGGACTCAGATAGGAGAGAGATTTTTGAGTGTGCTCGGAACATGAGACGGTAAATCATATGTTATTATACAATTAAATAGACACATGAAAAAAAAAAAAAATTTCCTCCAATTATATAAGATATATGATGAACGACTCCGTGTTCTGAACACATTGAAAAATTTTCTCCAGATAAGATTCACCTCATCTTGCAAGAGGATTGGATTGGGAAACAAAAAAAATTCCAACTAATTGGAAATCAAATTTCCATTTTCTTACGTGCGCAATTACTCTCCACTTTTCCACACGTGGTAGAGAAGACCTTCCTTCCCCTGTTCTCATCGCAGACTCTTATTCTTCCCCAAAGGTCTCGTCTTTCAGACCAAGCAAGCAGGTTTTGGTTGGTTCGTCTCTCCATTCGTCTGTCCAGAACCATTGAATTCCGCATTCAACGATTGGGATGATAATCCCAATGACACTTGGCACTTTCGGGTTTTGATTTGCTTCCACAGGTAAGCCTGCTCTGGTTTTCTCAATGTGTTCATCCATTTGATTATTTTTTGTGTTACGTTAATTCTTGTTTTATTTTATTTTTATAGGTTTATGGGTTCTATGTGTTTTTGCTCGATTTAGTATGTTGATGCTAAGCTGTTGAAATTTGTTTGAATGATTGAATTGGGTTTATGTTATTGAGTTTGTTTGGATTCTTGTTATTGAATAGATATTGATCCAGTTCAAAATCTGCCAACTTTTGAATTGTTGACTTATCTGTAATGCCCAAAATACTCGATTTTTTCAGTTTCTAGTAGCTAATCTTCGCCTTCCGTGCTTAATTGTAGTGACAATTACTGATTGATTATTGGAAGTCCAAAATATTGATCTGAATTTTTACATGTATAGATGACGTCGTGAATTATCTCGAAAAGATGGGAGATTGGTGTTTGGCATTGATGGTTCTTGGTTTTTCTTATCTTTTGTGAAAAACCCAGATGGAAGGTTTGACATTTCTGGATGGCTAATTGTGTGGTGTTAGTTTTTAATCTTCATGGGGTACATTGAATTTTGAGAACAAGAGCTTCCCTCGGTTTTTGTTAGTTTTTTGTCTATATGGAGCACCTTCCAGTTGAAGTCATAGGCAACATACTATCCCGGCTTAAAGCTGCCCGAGATGTGGTGATTGCATCTGCGACTTGTAAGAAATGGAGAGAGGCTTGGCACAATCACCTCCACACTCTTTCTTTTAATTCCAATGATTGGTCCGTCTATCATGATCTGACAACAAGTAGATTGGAAATTCTTATAACTCAAACAATTTTCCAAACTACATCATTGCAGTGTTTATCAATTTTAATGGATGATGTTGATGAATTTTCAGCTGCCCCAGTGATTGCTTGGCTCATGTATACCCGGGACACCTTGCAGCAACTGCATTATAATGTGAGGACTACTCCGATTGTGAATATCATTGAGAAATGCAGTCGGCAGAAGCTTGAAGTCTTGGCATTGGCTTATAATTCTGTAACAGGTGTTGAACCCAGTTATGAGAAATTTCCATGCTTGAAGTCACTTTCGCTAAGTTATGTCAGTATCTCAGCATGGGATTTGAGCCTTTTGCTTACCGCATGCCCAAAACTTCAGAATTTGGCTCTTGTTAATCCTGATATTGCCATGTCGGATGCACAGGCAACCATGGAACTTAATAGTCCTTCTCTAAAAGATATCTATGTGGAAGCTGTCAGTTTGGATAAGTTCATACTAGAGGCTGATAGCATTGAGAATCTGCACCTGAAAGATTGTACCCTCGAGCTTTTTGAGCTTATTGGTGAGGGGTCACTGAGAGTTTTGAAGATCGATGATGTTAGTGTCCTCCATCTTGATATTGGTGATAACACTGAGAATCTTCAGATTGTGGATGTTAGCAGCTTCACTATCATGTGGCCAAAGTTCTATAACATGATCTCAAAATCGTCAAATTTAAAGAGGCTTCGGCTCTGGGGTGTTGTATTTGATGATGAGGATGGGGTTGTGGATTTGGAGACTGTTTCTTCTTGCTTCCCTCAGTTAAGCCACTTATCATTAAGTTATGACTTAAAAGATGTTTGTGGCTTGCAGGGGTCATCGCATTTGGAGAACGTGGTTGTGTTAGAACTTGGATGGACTATAATCAGTGAGCTCTTCTCAGACTGGGTAGCTGGATTTCTAGAAAGATGCCCTAATTTGAAGAAGTTAGTCATTTATGGGGTAGTTTCAGAAGCCAAATCCCATGAAGAGTGCCGAGTTTTAGCAAGCTTCACCTCTTCCATTGTCCGGCTGATGAGAAAATATCTGCATGTAGAGGTACAATTCGATTATGAATAGAAGACTAGAAGTCGTGCTGACTGCATTGATGCCTGTTGAAATATTTGTTGAGCGTGATTGTACAATAAGGTACATGGCAGAACTTCATTATTCCTATCATCCTCATAAAAATATGAAAGGGGAAGCCCCTTATTTTCCATACAAGATGATGCGTGCTGAGCAAATGTAAATTTACAGATTGTTTTGAAAATCAATTTTGTCTGTTTATTTCAGGCTTGTGTTTGATTCATAATATTCAAAGGAAAATTTTCATATACTGAAGATTATTTCGTTTTAGCTTATGCGCTTTGTTTTCAATTTGTTAGGTACTGTCCTTGATAATATTCCATTGTATTTCACCATGTCTTTGTTTTTGTAGTGCGGTTAATTTTGGGATAATTTTGGGTTGAAGCCGCTTATGGTACTTCTATATGACTACCAGACTGAATATGGTGCATGGGTTTGGTATCATTTATCGCCCCCTTGCTTGAACAGGTGAGCTCCTCTACTTCCACAATTCAATGGATTATGGCATTATTTCAAGTTTTAACTGATTGTAAGATGACTGAATTAGTGTATGCTTAAATTCTAGGGATGACCATCAACATGTTGAGGCATTTTTATGTTCTCCAACACAAATGTAGGGTCGAGTTGTAATCAACGTGTATGAAAAGTTTACTTCATTACCTGTTTAGTCGAGATTAGATTAGAGATTTTTCATGCTTTGTGGATTGATTTTGTACATCTACTCCTTGCTAGATGAGAATAACCATTTGTTTAAATAAAACGTTGGAATTACATCCTTAATTTATTCCTCACATCAGCTTGAGCAAGGATCAACCTCATGACATCTTTGACTAGTTTACCTCCTCTCACCGCACACATTATTGCTCAAGAGTATAGCTAACCGTCAACAAAAATTAAGCACTGCTTGAACTCCCCATAGTACAGTAGCCAAATATGTTATATTCATTTCGAACTGTAGCCCCAACTTTCGTCGACCGCCCATCAGTATTTAGGTTAAAAGAACCTGTGGCGGCTTCTCCCACCTGCAGCAACTGAGTGTTCCTCTCTGCACTTAGAGCCCTAGTGAGGCTTCACCGCCATTACATATTCCGCTCTGCACTTAGATCTTTACATGTTTCTTTTACTTCTCTGTACGACTACGTTAAAACGCGTCCTGTTATTTTGATTTTTTGCACTGTACCGTACATCTCAGGGCTCTGTGTAGTCTACAGGATCTGTTAAGATATGAACATTCCTGCACATTGTGGCCTTGAAAAAGCACAAGCGGATGTTTCATTAGGACTTAAAGGAACCTGCAGCTTGCAGTCTATTCTGCTAGATGGGTACCTGGTTGTCTTGGAATTCATTTACCCAGCTCTTTCCCGAAGAGCAAGCTGCACACCGATACTATAAACGCCTGTAGAGTTTCCAAATTAAACTGGGAAAAGTCACTTTCCTCAAACACCACCAACCGCTGCCCTTAAAGAACTGCATACAAAATGCTCGTGTTCTGGTGGCCTTGGTAAAATGGTGCCAAAGTTAAATTCACTATAGCAAACCTGTTCTTTTCTATAGTTAGCAATGACTTGAGTGCAAGGTTGTAGTTGAGAGTAATGTTTCTGGTGTCGGTGTCGGTGGAGCTGAATTGGGTCAGAGAGGCGGTGGTGATGGTGACTTTGGGCTCATCGGAAGTTAAGATGTAGCAGATAATGGGTTAGGCAGAGAAAGGTGTTGCACAACCTCCTCCATACATGGCTGAGAGAAAAAAGAAGCAAGTGCAGTGAGAGATGGAAAAGTATACAGCACAATAAAGGGTAGTTTTTGGCTTTGTGTAATTTAAATGATTAAATAGTGGAACTTCCAAGGAACTTTTTTGGGTTAGGGGGAATTTCCAAAGTTACTGATTGGAACTAGTTTCCAGCCCCTTAACTTGTTTCCATTTGTTGCGAATCTGTGTAGTCAAGTCGGTTAGAGCGGTGTTCTTCCCTTCTACAATCAAGTTTGAAGCCTCTTTCCGTAGTTTGAAAAATTGCATAAATGTAGCCACGGGCCTTTTGAGAGCTTATTTAGGAAGTAATGCTCGGAAGTACTTTTGCTGGAGTTGCTTTTGTTAGAAGCACATTTGTTTTTAAGTTTCTAAAAAATCAAGTGCTTCATGAAAATGCACTTAGAAGCAATTCTAGAGGAAGCTGCTGAGTTAAAAAATTATCACAATTAATCATACAAGAATTTATCAACGACAATTTGATACATCAGGGATGAGTTTGTTGAAAAAGGGTCATATTTTTTGGATCAAAAATCGCAAATCCGTGGCTTGTCTCTAGGATTCGCGAAGGACATGAACATTCCTGCACTTTGTGGGATTGAAACCACTCACGGATGTGTTGTTAGAACTCACAGGAACCTTCAGCTTGCAGTCGATGTTGCTAGAACCGTAATCTGATGTCTTGACCTTGCCGTACCTGGCTTTTACCCGAAGATAAATCTCCACATCAATACTGTAAACACCGGCAGCAGTCTCCGAGTTAAACTGAGAAAGGTCGTGTTCCCCAAATGCCACCAACTGCTGACCTTCAACGAGTACATGGTTTAAAGTGGTCGTGTTCTTGCGGCCTTGGTAAAATGGCTCCAAAGGCAAGGTCACATTAGCAAACCTCTTTTTTCTGTAGTTGGCAAAGACTTGGATGCGGCGGTAGTATATGCCAACCCTTTTGTTGGGGTTTCGGATGGTGACGTTGAGTGCGAGATTGTAGTAGAGAGTGTTGTCGGTGTTGGTGAAGTTGAATCGGCTTAGAGAGGCATCGGAGACGGTGAATTTAGGCTCTTTGGGAAGGAAGATCAACCAGAATATGAATGTGGTTAGGCACAGGCAAAGGAAGGCCTGCCCGACGAAGTAGACGCAGTGTGTGCCGCACTTTGGAGTCATTGCACGAGAGAAAGAACAAGAAAAATGGTATGAGATGGAGTTGCATATGAGGTATCGTCTTGTATATAACACGAAAGGGTGGATTTCGGCTTTGTACATATGAAAAATCTTAATTACTAGCTAGTTAATTGACCGCTGCCAGCCATTGACAGAAAGGTATGTATATCTAGCAATTTACTTTGTTAAAAATGTCAAGAGGAACTTCCAAAGAGTCCTTCTGGTCTGGAGGAACTTCCGAGGTTGTTCAATCCGGGTGTCGCTAGTCGCCTAAAGAATCGAAATACCTTCTGTTTTGCTGATATAATTAGCTAAATTTTTTCTATGCAGAAGCACGTGGAGGAAGAGGGTTTTCGATGCTTGAAGTAGTTTCTGGTAGTTATGTTGGAAGCTGCGGGAGACTGCGATTTGAGAAGTAGTTGTGACGACTTGAGAGTTAGTTGTTATGAGAGACTGCAGAATCAAAGACGTGAATGAAGGGTTGAGTTGAGGGAAAAGGTTTACGTGACAGCGATTTGAGAATTAGTTGTGATGACTTTTTGGTCCTTGGGAATAATATAACGTTGAGAAATTATTCAGTGTGTGTGATAGTAACGCTACTTGGAAACGCAAGATGCTGTCTTCTTTAAGTTTGAACCTGAATCATTTTTAGGTTAAATTTTATGCGTGATGCATTGTAAAAAAGCTAGACTCTAAATGATCATCGATCCCATCACTAAATACTTGTACTGTCAATGTTGTGTACATTTTTCGGTATTGGATTCAACCCAAACGTATGAAAATTGTTTGACAATGTGCTGAGCACTGTGATAAGTGGAATTGCTTCATATAATTTAAGCACAATTCTAAAAAACACTTAGCCTGAAGTATCAGGATATGAAAAGATTTTAACATTCCCACACTTTGTAATATTGAAACCACCAGCAGAGGTTTCATTAAGATTCAAAGGAACCTTCAGCTTGCAGTTGATTTTCCGTGACGGCGTGTAATAGCTTGTCTTCAACTTGGCAAACTTGTCACTTACTTTTGCAGCAAGATGAATATCGATGTTGTATACTCCGGCAGCAGTCTCCGAGTTAAAATTGGAGATGTCATTTTGCCCAAACACCACCTCCCCCTGCCCTTCAAGAAATACTTGTTTTAAGACGGTGGTGTTCTTGTGGCCTTGGTAAATTGGCGTCGAAGTCAATGTCACCAAAGCAAACCTCTTCAACCTATAGTTAGCAATGGCTTCGATGCAGTTGTAGTAAAAGCCAACCCGTCTGTTGGGGTTTCGGATGGTGATGTTGAGCGCGAGGTTGTAGTGAAGAGCGTTGGTGGCGTTGGTGAAATCGAATTGGGTGAGAGTGGCATTAGTGACGACGAATTTCGGCTCTTTGGGAAGGAAGATCAACCAGAATATGAGGAGGGAGAAGAGGGAACCCAGGAAGATGATGTTGAACAAGCAGAAGGAGCAGATGCATAGGCAAATGCCGAGACATGGAAAGATAAGAATCGTGTAATGGAGTTGAACGGATTAACGGAAAGGTATAAAAAATGCATGGGAGGGTTTTGGCTTGTGTTCATGACAAAAGTTGAACTGCTAGTTATTAGCATGCTGAGGAATATATGCATATGATATTTGATAGAATTTATGTTCGTACATGAAGATTAGGTGTTTAGCAGAGAATTGATGTGCCGGAAAGTCCAATGTAAAGGCCAAAAAATTACAAGGAAATTCTAAGTTTTTTCTGTTTGGTTGGTTGTTACGGAGGAAGTTCCAAAGTTATTGAATTGGGTGTAATTCATGGAATGTTGAGGAATATTTGGACTGCATATTATTTTGCCATGAAATTGCATTAGTTGATTTTGATTTGTTCTAAAATTTTTGGGACGCCACTTTCTAAGCCATCTGAATTTTGACATTTACTTGGTTCACTCCAATACAGCACCTCACATTGACACGTCCCAACATTGCCTTTGCAGTCAATTACATTGCTTAGTTTATGTCAAAGCCTACAATCACTCATTTTATTGCTGCCAAACGTATTCTTTGAAACATCAAGGGCTTTCTGGAATTTGGTATCGTGTTTCGACGCTCTTCAGGGCCTCTCACTCTTCATGGTTAGTCGATGCTAACTAGGTTGGCTGTCCGAATAGTCGCCGTATCACTTCCGGGTACTTGTCTTTTCATGGATCTAATCTTATTTCTTGAAGCTCAACTAAGCAGCCCACTGTCTCCCGTTCTAGTGTGAAGTTCGAGTACCGTGCTCTAGCTCATGCATGTGCTTACTTCATTTTGCTTTCCTATCTCTTGTATGAGGTTCGTCATCCAGCACCACCACCGATTTTCCTCTTTCGCTGTAATTTGAGCACTACTTAATTATATGGCAACCAACCTTGTTTTTCATGCCCAGACCAATCATATTGAGTTAAACTATCATTTTGTCACATAATATGTTTAACTTATATGTCACTCCTAAGGTCCATTTTATTCCATCCATTGATTAGCAGTTGATGTTCTTACAAAAGGTCTCTCCAAGCAACGTTTTATATACTCTTGCGTTCCAAACTTATTTTTGTAAGGTCGCCGAGTTTGCGGGGGATGTTAGAATAGGAGAATCCGGTTAGGATTTTTCTACATATTGGGCTAGGTTTGGTTGTATGTCCTGTGAGCTTAGGTTTCTTGTAAAAGATAATGATGTTAATTGTACGCCAAGTCATGAATGTGTATATAAATGTACTATTATACATCCATGAAAACCATCTACTTATACGAATTCTACAATCGATTGGTTGAGAAAAACTCAGATATAATAGAATGGTGACGATGTCGATCAGACTGATCTAGTTGTTTATTAGAAGTTAAAATAAGCAAATATCCTAAATTTATCGTTGTATTAAAAACAAATAAACAGATATCATACAGAAAATAGGGCATCCCGAAGCTCAAAACATTCAATGGTTTTTTTAATATATAAGCTCAAAGTCAACGTGGAAGCCTGTTTTGTGATTGATCTATATACGTGAGTTTGCAGGATTATTGAAGGAATTATAGTTCATGTAGCTTCCAAGTCGCTGACTTTTGAAATGTTCCACCATTTCTACGATCCCCACATAACAAAAAGAATTCAAGATTTCAGCAAATTGAAATATTGTACCACTGATTGTGGTAAACAGATATATATGTATTGAAGGAGGCTACAGGCCTACATCTATTACAATTTACATGCATGTATGAATGTACGCATGTTAATATATATTGACTGATTCTTAAAGTTATTGGAATTTCAACAAGTTTGTGTCACTACTGAATCAAGTAGTTTTCCATACATAGTTTTGAGAATGTATTTTAGTTACTCATCAAACAATCACGCAAAACGGTGAAAGGGTGGTTTTTGAAGGTCCGTAAAACTGTTCTCTTAAATAATAATTATAATATAGTACAAATAAATAAAAATACGTAACAAGTTCTTTAAAAATAGTTAGAAACTTAAATTTCATTTTTTATACGATTGAAAGCGAGGAAGGAAAAATCAAACATGAACCTAGATCTAGTGTAAGAATAAATATTCTTGATCAACGAAATTATAAGACCAAAAAGGCATACATAGCTGTGTGAAAAAAATTGCTACTAAGTAAGAAAGCTATCGGCATATCATTGTGTGTGTTACACCACACTGCATGGCGATCGACGTGCTGTATGGAATCCACAAAAGAGTTGTTCCTAGCTAGAATGAAGTGTATGGGAAATAAAAACCCTTTTCTTATTAATTTGAGAAACTAAAACACAATCCTCCAAACCATGCATGCACGTACATTACAAGACAAAAATCTAAGCCTTCTCACACTTGGCAACCTCAAATTTTACAGCAGATTTTCCGTTAGAATTCAAAGGGACCTTCAAGTTGCATGCCATCTTCATATTCTCATGAATCTTGATTGTAGCATACTTTGCCCAATGCTTGACCTTCAACTTCAAAACGATATCATAAACCGTACTAGTCTTCATCTTTGAAACCTCATCATTCGGAAGAGACATCTTTTGCTCCCCCTTGAACAATGCACTCACCGGATGCTTATCCTTGTGCTCTACCTCGAAGGGGTCGATGCTAACGCTCATTAAACTGTCGTGCTTGTAAGAAGCAACGGCTTCGAATTTCTCGTAGTGGAAGTCCGACCTTTTGTTAGGGTTTTCGACATTTATCGTGACCTCTAAGTTGAATTTGAGGATTTTATCGCCCGTCAAGTTGAATTGGGTCAGAGACGCATCAGTCACCTCGTACTTGATCCCACGTTTAGGGCTGTACTCGCGAACAACGATAACAGCGACGCCGAGGGCAAGGACGAAAACTATCATGAGGATGCAACAAAAGCAGCAACATTTTTTCCAATTGCAAGCCATGGTTGATGAAGGAATATTATTTGTATTGCTTAATTACAGAAAGAGTGGAAGATTCTTTCTATATTTGCATCACCAGCACCAACCCCCTCAAAAGATTTTGTTCTTCAAGAGGGCTGGAAACTAGAGTGCGAGATTCTGAGTTCTCGTTGAATTCACACGTTGGCCACAGAGGAAAAGAGGGTACAAATGCCGGGTGTGGTGTCTTTATAATGGCTATTTATTAGGCAAGGATAATATGCAAAATTAGTAAATACATGTATTATATTTGTCTGTATTTTCGAAAACTCCGCGTTAATCTAGTGTTCGTAAATTTAAGAACACCAACTTTTGAGGCCGGCCGCACACAACTGAGTTTTGATTAATGTGGTTTAAAATTTTTGCAAAAATAATAAATGAAAAATGAAAAATTTCAAGCCACGAATTTAACAATTACTAATTATTAAATGTTATATGAAGACTTAGATTTAGTCAAGTTAGCTAGAGTATTGTATTCTTTGTATTTCATTTCTGAGATGAATCTTCAAGTAGTTTCAAGGGATATCTCATTTTATCGAACAATTACTAGAATGTGATAGATTCTTTATTACGCATTCATATATCTTCATACTCATCTACATGAACCCAAGCAACACATTGTCGGCCATGCAAAGGAGTGAGGGCTTTGATATGAAGTCAAAGTTTATATCTATAAGCACACGATATCCAATGATGCCTCATGTCTAAGAACAGCTTGCATACTACAATCCAAAGCTTTGTAACGTTTGACATGTGATAAACATCCATACGTTTAAGCTTCTTAGACAGTCAGTGTTCAATAAACTTGTTCAACAGACAAGCATTGTATATCCACCACATGTCAAACACGCGTAGCACGAGACCATGATAACTTTAATGCGATGTACACCGATCTTACCGGATAGTCAATGTTCATTTGACATTCTAAACGGCTAGGAACTTTGTTTAAGGATTTTTTTTTTTTTATAAATTTTTTGTAGAACGTTGCTTCCATATCTTAAATCTTACAACCTCATATATTATCTCTATAATATAAAACCAATACTCGTGAATGACTTTGTTACATAACATCTAATATTACAAAATTGATTAATATGGAGTTGTTACATAATATCTAATATTACAAAATTGGCTTTTAGAGCACAACTGCAACACTGCATTGATAGCAGGAGAGACTTTGTATGAGCTTATAAATAAGTTGAGCTACTCCAAATAATTGTTAATTAATTTTATGTTAAAACCTCAACTTTTTGCATGTTAATGGTCGTGGTTTGAATTAATTTTAAAATAATAAGAAGTAAGGAAAAAAGTGGTCATACCAATATAATAAAGAATTTTTTTTTTCCTAATTTGGGAAACAAAAAATTCCTATATACCTCGTCTTGAAATGACAAGCGATCAATACAAAAAAGATAATCTACTGTAAACTAAACGTGAAACAAATTTAGTGGTCGGCCTTATCACATTTGGTGCTCTGAAAATTTTCAGCTGGTTTTCCGCTAGAACTCAATGGAACTTTCAAATAGCAAGCCATCTGGAGCTCCTTCTCATCCTTGTACACAGCAATTTTGGTCCAATACTTAAAATAGATCTTCAACGTGATATCAAAAACTGTACTATTCCTAAAATTTGAAGCCTCCTCATTCGTAAGAGCCGTCACCGGTCGTAGTCCCTTGAACAATGGATTCAAATCGTACGTATCCCTGTGCGCTACCCCGAATGGTTCCAAAATACTTTTACTCAAACCCTGGTTCTTATAACTAGGAACGGCTTCAAAATGTTCATAGTGGAAGTCATTCCATTTGTTACGGTTTTGAACAGTCATGTTGAGGGACAGATTGTATAGGATGGTGTTGTTGGTTGCCGTCAGGTTGAATTGCGTCAGCGACCTGGTAAATTATCGATTTAGAAGGGCTGAATTGACGAGCCGCGAAACAAGCCGTTAAGCTGAGAGCACCGAGTACTACAACAATGATGCAGAAACAGCAGCAACATTTTTTTAGCATGGATGGTAGAGATATAGAGATTTGAGGTTGGCACCTTATCTTAGTTTTGACTGCGGTCTATATAATTACATAAAATCTCAAGCCTTAAACTTCTCATGAATTACTAATTCTAATTGTTCTTTAAATTTCATTCGACATCAAATTCATGTAATAGCTAGCTCGCGAACATGTATTTTCAACAAAAGCCTGGATAATTATGTTCTATGGTTTACTACTGTTGGTGTGATTGAGTTGAACACGTAAACTCGCGTCTTTAGTGTGATTGTATTCATAATTTTAATATTGATGAACAAATTTCGGACATCAACATGTAGAATTGACAAAGAAGTAGAAAACATATTCATACTAACTTATTCATACTCGAATTTTATACATTTGTTCATTTTGAAGAAATTTAAAACTCATACAATCAGTAGTCTTGAAATCATTCGAAACTGTTCCATTAATTGAAGTACTCAAAGGAACCTTCAACTTGCAGTCACGCTTCCTTGGAATCTTGAAATAACCCGTCTTCATCTGTCCGAACCTGATTCCTATCCGAAGAGCAATCTTCACGTCAATGCTGTACACCCCGGTAGCAGTCTCCGAGTTAAACTTGGAAAGATCACTTTCCCCAAACTTCATCAATTGCTGCCCTTGAAGATCTACATGCACAATTGTCGTGTTCATGTGGCCTTGGTAAAATGGTGTCGAATTCAATCTCACCAAAGCAAACCTCTTTTTCCTGTAGTTGGCAATGACTAGGATGCGTCGATAGTCTATACCTACCTTTTTGTTAGGGTTTCTGATGTTGATGTTGAGGGTAAGGTTGTAGTGGAGAGTGTTGTTGGTGCTGGTGAAATTGAATTGTGTGAGAGAGACATCGGTGATGACGAACTTGGGTTCTTGGGGAAGGAAGATCAACCAGAATATGATGAAGGCTAGGAAGATAAAGAAGTAGGTGATGCAGCACAGGCATATGCAGCAGCAGTAGCTACCATGCCTCCCAAACATGACAGAAAAATTTAATAATGGTGTCTGAAAAGTTGGATTTACCTGTGCATATGGGAAGGGATCAGGGTTTTGGCTTCAGGAAGAAAAGTTTAACTAATTAATAAGGTGATATATGGAATATATTCAAAGTCAATATCCATATATGTTGAGTGTTTTCTGATAAATCTCTTGGCAATTGAACATCACCCAAGTACGTACTTCTCGGTAGCTTCCATCTAGCTAAACATTTACTTTAGTACGATTTGCTAAGATATAACGAGTTGAAGTATTGTTCTATTTTTCATTTAGTTGACAACGGAGTGATGAAAGTTGAGATTCCACTATAAAATTAATTAACAATATGAAGAGTAACTCAACTTACTTACAGAGCATAATTAGCCCGAAAGAAAAGGAAAATTCAACAAAATTCATAAATTAAGACCAGATCAAATCTATTTTGAATCACTTTTTAACCCTATGAGACCAAACGCAATTCAAAATCATCAGTGTTGGGTGGGCACGTGTAGAGGTTTTTCTGGGGATGCTGCAAGTGTTGCCCTTGAGCTAGTTGTTGGCAAAATTGCCCAAAAATACACTGAACCAAACCTAGAGGTCCTTCAACAACATTAGAAATTATAACCCACGTGCAAAGGTTCATTCACATTATAAACTTACATGAACGCCCTTACCACTCTTCCACACTTTTTTTTTTTTTTTTGATAAAGGGGATCATCCCCTTACGTTTATTACATTAATGAAGGAGAAAACCAAACCCCAGAAAGCAACTATAGCAACAAAATCATGAAAATCGATAGTTAAGGAATTATGAAAAATCTCTAAAATAAGCTGCAGACGCAAATGTCACACATGTTCCCCATAAAAACAACTATAGCAACAAAATCATGAAAACCGATAGCTAGAGAATCCTAAAAAATCCTTAAAATAAACTGCAAACGCAAAGACCACACATGTTCATTGACACTATAAACCACATGGATAGGTTCGCTAAACCACCTTGCCTATAGAAGAGGTCCATCATAAAGTTCAGGTTCATTAAACACTCATAAATTGGATACTTAGTTTTACTATTATTGGTCCATTGCCAACCATATACAAAATAATTTGTTGGTTCACGCCAAAATTTTAAACCAACTGTTTAACTGTGAAAAGGGTTTAGTGAGATTCCTTTTCTCGCATATTTTAGCTTAGAAAACAATGCCTACTAATAGAGTCAATGACTGTTATTCGTTGATGCATTTGATTAGTTCTTAAGACCATTAAAAATACTTCCCAATGAATCAACCAATTAACTCATAGGACTGAGTTTTGAGAAGAAGAATTTTGTATGGACACAGCCGAGGCAGCGTTGTCAAGTGATTAACTCATACAAGAAGCCTTGTGAAGTACTTTTGTAATCAAGTCAATAACTGCTAGCCGTTGATACATGTAAATTTCCATCGATGGCACGCATAATGACATTGCTGAAGAATTTTAGTTTATGCTAATAAACGCACTTATTCTAGAAAGCTCACAATGCAGAAGCTGGTAAGTTGAAATATACAAAAACTACAAACGTATATAATCATGCCTAGTACAGGAATCATTCACATTTATTCTCAATGTGGCATCATCTTATCTTGCAGTGGAGCACTCTTGCTTCACCTTGTAGCCGTTTCAGCATTGAGCTAAGCTTGCACAGTTTCGACTTCCCTCGGTGAGGGCTTCAGTTCTGTCGAGTCCTCAATGACGAACATGGAAGTTCTTTTTTAAGTATAGGAAGCTACTCAAAAGTAACATATTCAGGAAAATGAAAGAAAGGTACAAAGACTAACTAAAAACATGAGATATGCGTTCATTTACCATATCTCAGATTGCACATTATAAAACACAACTATTACTCCTCCTCAACACCCTTAGCTTCTCCTTCACTTTCTGGGCCCTGTTCTGAACTCTCATCTTCATTTCCTCGAAAAACTGAAAAAAAATATTTCAGTTAAGGATACGTAATGTGATCAATTATAATGTTATGGCAGAATACAGGAATTTACTTGCAGTTGCAGACACAACAAATACGAAAAATGGTTTCCGATAGTCTTGCATGTTGTCTTGTTGGACAGACGATGAATCAAGATCGCTCGTAACACTGAAAAGCATTCATTTTTGTTACTCATACATTGTTAAAGCAAGAATTACCTGTTGCTTTCGCTTCCTCTCGAGCTCTGCCTGTTCATGTTAACTCGATCAGCAAGTGCAATAATTACAAGCAATATCACCACAAGAAACAAAAAGAGTCAGAAAGCTTTCAACACATTGAAATGTTTTTCATGTCATTACCAGCGCCTGTTTAAGGTGTGAGTTCTCTTCTCGTAAGTGGTTCAGTTCTGCTTCCAATTCAACTGTGTATGCCTGTAAAAGCAGCATATATTGCTCAAATAAAATTACTGCTATGATCCTTCAAGAAAATGTGATGAGAAATTCCACAAAAATCTAAAATACTTTCACTAAAGTTGTCCGCATAATTTTACATGATTCAAGATTCCAAAAGGACCGGTTCAACTGCTTGCCTAGGCCTAGCAGCTACTGAACTGTTTATCTTGAATTAGATATTCATCATTTAGTTCCGCAAGTCACATTCATACTAGCTACCTGGACTACTCTATTAAGAGCTTGGCAAAGATCATTTCCTAGCAGCCTCGCAGTATAAACCGACAATGTTGAAAGGTTTAAAAAACAAGTTGAAGCTGCTGATCAATCCCATCTATAACAACGGGGGCGATTTATTCATCGTGCAACTGAAAAAAGGGAACATTTTGCTACCATATGACTAAACTATTGATGATCAATACAATATAGTAAATAAATAATGTCTATCTTGCTAAAATAATTTCACAAAAAGATATTTCAAATTCGATCATTCGAGGCAGCTGAATTATCATAACCAGTAATTATTCAGAACAAACAATTCAATAGTAAGAACTGAATTGTCTGAAAAGGATGAAATAATGTACCTGTTTTCGAGCTCTAGACCTTGCTGCAGACTCTCTGTTCTTAATCATCCTTCTCTGCCTCCTCTCCACCACTTTTTCGACCGGTCCATCTAATCCTCGCTTCCTTCCTCTTAGTCCACCCATGTCCAAACCAAATTGAAACGCAGAATTCTCAACCTGACTAGTACCCATTCCATCTGAAGACAAGGGACTCCCCGGAGCCGCCATCCCAATTGTCTGCTCTGCTGCATATCCACCACCACCATTCACCACTCTCCCGCCAAAACAAACCGAATGTGGAGGCGCCACCCCCAGGTACGCCCCATTCCTCTTACCATTCGCAGCATACGCAGAGGACTCTCGCACAACCGCAGCCCCACTTTGCGGTATAGTTTGGTAACTAGGAATACCGGCGGCAGTGCTAGTACTAGCACCTACTGCGGCAGCAGCCCCCATTCCCATCACAGGCCTATTTACAAAACTGGGTCCCACGGCCTGGTTGCCGTTCTGGTACATCCCATACTGCTGCTGCTGGTGAGGCTGAGGAGGGACCACCGTGGCCGCCATTGAATCCTGTTCCCGGACTACCCCTGCTTTAACCAAAAAATCCTCCAATGTCATCTCCCCAAAAGTAGGCTGGCGAGGGGCAAACTCAGAACTCTGAACACCGCCATCGATGCTACTGTTGTGATTGTTCTGCTGCTTTGCCTGCTGCCCTCTGTGTATCTCAGACCAAACTTCATCCACTGTTTTCCTACACAGTGGCTCAGGCAGCGTAAGCGAGCCTTGACGCGGCAAGCTGGGCTGTATCGCAATGCGCTTCTCTGCTGAGGCCTCGGCTAAAGGCATGTGCACCTCAATGTTGTTCATGTTGTTGCTGTTAGTAGTAGTAGTAGTGTTGGTGAGATTGGAATTAATGGCTTGGTTTTCTTCGGCGGTCCAAATGCTGGTGAGGAACTCATCCATATTCATCGACCCGAAATTCTTGCCACTCTCGCAGAGTGTGTGCTGAAACTCATCAAGAGTGAGAGAGTAGATTGATGATTGTCTTCCTAATGAGGAGAATAAGTGGTTCTTCGCTTGTTGGTCCGATAACAAGCGCGAATCCACCTCGCCATGAGAGTTGATTTCCGACTCCGAAACACCCATGTTTGTGCGATCTACCCTTGATTGAATGTTGGGTTTCTAAGTTGTAACGAACCTGATCAAACTGAAGCACATGGGGTTAAGTTTATGCCGTAGTTGTTGGTGTTGCAGAGAACAGAGATTTAAGTCTAGTGAAGTATAGACGACTGTGTGAAATTAATTGGTTCTTTCAATAAATATATCCAATTAAAATGTCCCTTTTTTTCTAAGAGGAACAAAGAGGAAAACATTGATTTAAATTCATATCAACCAAGCACAGTACTCAGAATAAATTTAACTGGTTCGTACAGAAACTACATGACACATTTCATTCATGCGATAACAACAAAGCTCAGTGCAACGCATTTTCTCCTCACGTTGCTTTCAGCTCACATGATTAAGAACATTTAATCTGCACCGAACCCTTCACGCTCACACTATTAAGAGCATTTACCTTACACGACACTTGAGAGGTTCTATCCACGCGATTAAGAGCATTTACCCCACACAGCACGCAGAGAGCTTCCATATTCAAATCTATCTAACCAATATAGCTTGTAATTTGAAAAATAACGAATCTCTGTGGCCCCTATGATCAAATTTTAAGGACTATGATTGGCAACACCAACCGAAATCAACCAAGAATTAAGTGTTTTGCTCAATTTAAGAATGGGATTAGTGAGCAGTTGGAGGTATTCACATGGTGGTCCATATTAAACAAATAATGACAAGATATGTCTAATGCAATTAAATTATACATTTCCAAAATAGGAAACATGAGTATGCGGGGTAGACAGCAAAAGTAAAAGACAATTTTTCTTCTTTTAGTGCTTTTGCACTTCATTTTAGAGTGGTCAATTTTCTCTTCCAATTATTAAACACCAAAAAGTGACCACACAGAATATAAAAAAAGCCAGAAAAATTAAGCCACTTAATAACAATAAACTAAAAAGCAGTTTGCGTGAAAATTAATTAACTAACTAAACCCTACTTAGCCAACTAATAAGATAGTATATTCATCCTCAATAAGCCTCAGATCCCAGAACAAACACATAAAAATCAACAAACGCATACAAACACAGATCAAAGCAAGAAAAAAATTAAAAAAACATATCCGGTTAAACTCATCTAAACTACAGAAAAAGAAGTTCGAACTTGAGTGCATAAGAGAGATCACACTGTTGTAGCCAACAAAACATGCAGACTGCGCATAAGAAAACTAGCTAAGCTGAAACCCTAAAACCCATTAAAAGAAAAGTACCTGACTGAATGTAAAGATTGAGTAGGAAGCTGACGAATGAAGGCTAAGAACTCGAAAATGCAAGAAACCCAATACTCCTGGACACTGTTTAATTTTACTAGTGGACAGATCTACTTCAAGAATTTAGTATATATGATATCAGCACAGCTAAAACCGCACCAAGTTTATGGGGGGTAGGGATTTATTTTTTATTTATTTTGTATTATTTTATATTTATGTTTTGGTTATTAGGTATAGAGAGAGCTAGCTGGCTAAGGGTGGCTGTGCAGTCTTATACAGGAGGGTCTTTGAGGAGGAGAGATCGTCGATCGTGCAATTCCACGACCACACCTCTATCTTTCCGGCGAAGCGTGGGGCCACCTTTCTTGCGTACAAGTCAATCCCATCAATCTCTGCTGCTTTTTTTTTACTATAAAAAATTAATGCCCCACTGCTAAATTAGACTATGCTTGGAACCCCTTGACACCTGTTAGCTAGGTGGCTGATGGAGGAAGATCTTTGTTGAAGTTGCAACACGTGTTCTGTTTCTGCCAGAAAATAACAGAATATGTCTCTAGATTTTAAATAGTGTTATTTAAACGTTCATTTTTATCTCACATCCTCTAGTTTTTTAATTCATTTAATTTAACAAACGAAAATGAAAATGAAAAGAATTGTAGAACGTTAAAAAAGAGGTGAATATCACCGCGTTGCTGGTTCTCCACCTTTTGAAAATCTGGCTTCTATTGCATAATCCTTTTGGTTATGAATATTTTAAGTGGTAATCAAGCAAATCTTTGTATTTGTTGGAGTTAGGGCATTCAATCAAATCTAAAATGAATTGACAAATGTAAGAGAGATTTAATCACTACGGATGTGTTTGTTGCATCGGACTGTCTCGGATTGGACTAGTTTCGGGGACTAAGCTGGACTGACTTAGATTAGACTAATAAACTAGATTAGCTTAGTGAAGTGTTTGGTGCGGTATCGGACTAAGAAGCAGAATAAAAATTAATTTTCCTTTTTTTTTTCTTCAAAAACAAAGAACTCTATCTGTCTCTCCCTTTTCTTTGGTCAAACTATCTCTCCTCCTTTTTCCTTTCTCGTCCAACTCCTTTTTCTTTTTCTTCTCGATCACAAATATACACAGTTCACATGCAAACCAATTTTCCATCAAACCAAACAAAACTCATCAGTTGCCTCATCAATCCAACAAAATTCCCAAACTTTCCCACCCTAAAATTTGACAATTCCATTCAAATTAAACAAAAGTTAGAGCTGAAAAACTAAGGAAAGAGAGAGAGAAAGAGAGAGAGAGAGAGGGAGAGAGAGAGAGAGAATGGAGAGTGAACGGGCCACCAATAGTAGGAGGCGGCGACGCTGTATAGCTTGAGGATGAGCAGTAACGTAAAGGAGAAGAGGAAGCTGTGGGCCGCCAAGGCCTGCACGGACTTTCAACACTCTCCGCCAGTTCATTATCACCGTAAAACGACGTCGTCCGCTGCGAGAGTCGAGACTTCAGATTGTGAGAAATCTCAAGAGGAGGTTGTTGTTTCAGTATGCGCTATTGAAACGAAAGAGGCAAGAAATATTCTCTCCTTCTTTGTTCTCTTTCATCATTCGGGTTGACCCATATGACAAAAGATCCCAAATCACCGACCAATATGCCAAAAAGAAGCTGGGTTTGCAGGACGATGGAGATCGGCGACACCGTTTCTGGTTTGGTCACCGGAGAATAGGGGCTGATGTTGCTCATGTGGGTTCGTAGGACGCTGCTCGCAGACGAGGGAGACGGGACTAGCAATCTCGTTGTTTTTGGGGGTGCTCGCTAAGACCTCCTAGTGAGGGATTTAGTCGAGGTGAGTCCTCCTTTGTCCCATTTAACTTAGTCCCGCCAGTGAACAAACACGGATTACACTAACTTTTAACCTAAGCCAATCCAGTGAGAGCTAAAGAAGGCAAACAAACACCTCTTACATGTTTTGGTATATGATTTGACTCTAGATTTGAAATTTATATTCTCAAGCTCATTTGTGGCATAGATAGTATTGTAATTCCAATATGGTGGAAATCTAAGAATTAGATCAGTTCGAGCTAGTTCTCATTGCTTTTTCATTCTTTCTGTTCGAAATGAATACTTTGTATGTACTTATAAATAAGTTGAGTTACTTCGATGGTGGAACTTTAACTTTATTTTTTTTATGGTATCAAAGTAGATTAGCTCATGTGTGAAATCCAAAGGCCATATGTTCCACACGTCACCCAACTCTATTGTCCGCGTATTTGGCCTTGAAAATTCGCCATACGTGAGGATGCGTGTGAGATTGTGAAGGTAAAAGAGTCTCACATTGTGAAAGTGAAAACTTTACAAAGGCTTATAAAAGGTTGAACTACTTTTTATATTGCCGATTAATTTTATGATGAAACTCCAACTTTCTTCATTTCTTGAAACCAAAAAGACACAAGGAAGCAAGAGACTTCTAAAGGAACACCAAAAGCATCCTTCTTTTCCACAACGTAAGAATCATGGTTGCAAACAGCAATCATGATTTTGTTGAACAAATGTTGTTCCATTCTAAAATAACGTCTAAAGTACGTATCAGGGAATGCACTATTACAGACAAAATAATTGTCCAAAAGATCCATACCTCGTCATTGCCTGCTTCTATCAAGGTTTGCGGAACGGCTGGGCTTGCAGATCTGAGCCACAACTTGGATGACTCAACGGAAATGTGAAGCTCTTTGGCATTTTACTTCGTCATCTCTCCTTCTACACTCCTCATCATCTTCGTCTTCCATCTCATTTTGGGCCACTTGGAGATTGAACTTTTATTCCCCTTGCTTAAACAATTCTTTCTTTTGCTCCTTGATTTCCCACAACATCTTTGAAAAAGAAGACATTGTAAGAAGGAAGCAGAAACTATGCATAATGATAGAGATTTTGATTTTGGTGAAGAAGGAAGCAGAAATTATGAATAATGATAGAGATTTTGATTTTGGTGTGTGATTTCTGGTTCTGGATGGTGGGTTATATGGAGGAAAAAGAAATTATTAGGTTGTAGATAATGCCACGTGGCATGCCGTCATTTGTTAAAAATCTGATCGAAATATATCCTTAAAGATTGTCTTCAAATTATGACACGTGGCACGACGTGATTGTTTTAAAATCTTATAGAAAATCTATCCTCAACGATTCTGAAAAGGTAATGACACGTGACACGACAGCATTGGATAAATATCTTATCGAAATCTATCACCAAAAATTATCTTCTCGAATAATGACACATGGCGCAACGAGAACGATTAAAAATCTTATCCGAAAGTACAAATAAAATTATTTTATTGCCTACTGTCATGGATATTCAGTGTAAGGGTGGAGATGCAAAAAGCAGTTATTGTTCATTAAGGAAGTTACTATTCATTGGAGGCTATTCAATAGTGACTTGGCCTAGGGGGCCTTTGCAATAGCGGAGTTGCTCTTAGGCACATTTTGTTGTTATTATATCTGTGTGAAATAAATTACCTATATTTTAAAGTAGAATATAGGTAATTAATTAACTTTAAATCAATTGGCTAAAAACATCCTTTTATTTTGTAGGTAAATAATTTTGCATGTACTATTAAATATACTAGGCACATCTGTTAATATTATGTGTTGTTTGCAATCAATCAACATTCATTTATTTTGTAGGTAAATTACAAAAGTATCTACTTTATACTTGTCTTACATGTATACATTAGGCACATTTTGTAATTATTATATCTGTATGAAATAAATTACCTATATTTTTAAGTAGAATATAGGTAATTAATTAACTTTGAATCAATTGGCTAAAAAAATCCTTTTATTTTGTAGGTAAATTATTTTGCATGTATTATTACATATACTAGGCACATTTTTTATTAGTATGTGTTGTTTGCAATCAATCGACATTCGTTTATCCTGTAGGTAAATTATTTTGCATGTATTATTATTATTATTATTATTATTATTATTATTATTATTGTTATTATTATTATTATTATTATATATATATATATGCATGCAAATAACTTAATTAACTTTTGAATCAAACAATATTTATTTATTTATTTTGTAGGTAAATTATTTGCATGTATTATTTTACCTGGAACTTATATTGTTATTTTATATATGTAAAATATTGATAATTTTGAATAAAATAACATTTGTATATTTGTGAAAAATACTAATTTACCTGTTACAATTATTTGAAAAGGAAAAATAAATGCTCATTTTTACATAAATGTGAAAAACAACTATATAAGGAATCAAAACTCTAATATCATGTAATTTTTGTTATTAATATGCATTGAAATCATGACACTAAAATTTTTCTTTTCCAAATCTGCGTAAGCATTTCAAAATGTTTAATTGAATGAAATAATATAAAATAAACGTAGATAACAAGTAATAGACCCAAAGTCAATGATATTAGGGGTAATTTAGACATCCAAAAATACCAAGTTTGCCAAGTCATACTTAATTATGGATATTGCTTAGTTGGAGCCTAATCATTGGGTTTTTATTAGAAAATTTTACAATTGTGGGTTTTAGTTAATGAAAATTGAATTCCAAGGGCTATACTCATATTTTCAGTATTTTAAATATTGGGTGGCTTCTTTTTTCAATGTTACAATATTGTTGCGTTCCATTAGTAGTTCTTTGTATCCATGCAATTTTCAATAAGGATAACTAAGTAAAAAGAAATATATATTTGAGCTACAGTTCTATAAAGTAATAACCTCTTTAAAATTATAAAATTGGTTTGATCATTATGACTATATAAAGATTTTACTATATCTCATGGTCATGGGAGCTTGAGATGTAAAAGGATGGCATTTGACTTTATATCAGATGAATACCTCAGATACTCTAATCCAACCTCTTGAGATCATGCAACGAGGGATAAAAGATATGAAGAAGATTGGTCACAAACTTAAGTTGGGTAAGTCTTCGACAATCCGGAGTAGTATGGCTTTAGATCCATTAGATCGCCAAGTAAGTAAAAATAGTATTTTCTCAACTCATTCCTGACCTTTCATTTCTCGTACTATTGAGTAGTCTGAATTATTAAAGAAAAATTAAACTTAGTGAAGAGTAAAACCTGGGGGCCATTAGGTCGTTGGCAAATATACCAGAAGGTTGGAGTGCATGGCAGATGAGTCACTAAAAATATTAAGACTTTTGATGATGTTCTTAGCCTTGCTACGAAATCTGAGAAGAAAAAAAAAAAAACTTATGATTTTCATCAGTTCAAATTTGTGAGAGCTCAAAGTGGCAAGCTTGATGTGGTTAAACGAAAAGTGGGACTAAAGGACACTCTTTGAAGCATAAGAAGGGTCTGAAGCACGAGTATGGGCTGGACCAGAGCACCTCAAATGATTCAATTGAGGCTTATTTGTTTCTTGGGTCTTTATTGGCATTTGGCCTTTATAAATAGGGTTTTGAAACACCCCAGTTCTTATTAGTGTATTTGTCCATAATTTGTAGCGTAATCCAAATAAAATGGAAAGAGATTGGTAGTTTTCCTTAAAGTTAGTATTTTTTTTTTCAGTGTGTGCATTAAAATTGGTATTTAATCTGAATTTTCCTTGGTTTAAATGATTACTATTCATGCATGCAAAGATTTGAATAAAAAAGAAAGAAACAAATGGACCAAATGATTTTCTTGTGCATTGTTACAAATTCATTTTAGATGTATGGCATGGTTTAGTACTATAGTCTAAATGTGGCATGGTTTAGTTATTTTAAATATATTCAATTTTATGTGACTTAGTACTATAATCTAATAGTATTTTTTTTTTAACAATAATTGAGATGTTTTAGGTTTGAATCTTGAAAATAAAGAGTTCACGACCAATTTATTTCTTCTCTCCCTTGGTAAATATATTGTTCTATAACTATTACATACACACACACACACACACACACACACACACACAATTTGATAAGATTATTATGTTATACAGTCAATACCTAATATGTCGGTAACATAATCTAGTATAACAAGTATGATAATACAATAGTTTGAACCATATTATAGTGTTGTAGGTGGTGGAATAGCGACCCTTCTAAGCAGTTACTTAAATATTCTGGCACATGATGTCATCTAATGAATTTAAGCCCTAAGAAAATCTGCTATCTGGTGGGAAAGAAAACATCCAATTTCTTACTCGTCTTTGCACACTTTTAATTATCACATCACCAATGCGTGTAATTACTCATCACCCAAATAGTAGTCAACTTCCCATCACTGACGAGCAAAGAAAATTACGTTCAAATTTTCTATATTTATTTTGTGTGTGATTTTTATTATTGATTGATATGTATTAAGTTTATGACAATAGAGTTAAAGATGATTAAGTTTATGACAACAGAGTTAAAGCTGGTTAAATTTATGAACATATATTAATCTATGATATATACCACAGGTCCACAGAACTGGCCACACAAAAAATGATAGCAAAAGATTTAAACTCAAAAAAGTTACCTTATGATTCATTCATAGCTTTATCAAATCCACATCGACACTTGGATATGGTATACAAACTTTGAAATGCCAGATGCGCATAACGATATCAATGTACTTTACTTTTCATCGTTATTTAATGATATACTAGAGGGATTACTCTTCATCGTTATTTAATGATATACTAGAGGGATGTACTCCAATGGTTCTATTTCATATTAACAAAAAAGAACAAAGCGAGATATACCATCTTGCAGATGGTATCTATCTCAAATTGGACCACTATCATCTAATCAATCACACAACCTATTGAGGAAAAGAAAAAAAATATTTTCCATGAAACAAGAAGCTTACCGCAAGAATGTTGAGCCACCGTTCAGCATTTTTCAAGAATAGGAAATTCACAGTCAATTTATTTCCTTACTCTCTTAATATAAATATATCATTGAATAACTAATATATATATATATAATTTGATAATTTAAGATTTTTATCTCACAGTGTTGCGAGGTTTGTTTACTAACCATATATTCTTGTTGTAGGTGGTGGAATAGTAACCCTTGTGAGCAGTTACTTCATGTTCTGGCACATGATGCTATCGATTGACTTTAAACCCTAATAAAACCTTCTATCTAGTGGGAAGGAAAACATCCAAAATTCCACCAATGCGTGTAATTACTCATCATTGAAATACTAGTCAACTTCCCTTCACTCCCAAGCAAAGAAAACTAAGCTCAAATCTTTTGCATTTATTTTGTATGTATTTTTTGTTTGACCTCTATCATTGATTGACACGTGTTAAGTTTACAACAACAAAATTAAGGATGATTAAGTTTATGAAAACGTGTTAATCAATGATAAAGACTATAGAGAATCCACACACAAAAACGATAAAGAAAATTAAACTCAAGAAAATTACCTTCTGGTTCATACCTAGCTCTACCAAATCCATTCATTTTGCTTTGGCCACATGTAATCATCAAATATACAAAATATAGGTGCGGGTCTCGTGTCACGCGCAGAACATCAAAGAAAAGTAATCATTATCATAATGTTGTCGTCCACATCTTATTCTTCACAGTCTGATCCAATTGAAATATATTCTCGTTACTTTGGAATTATAATGTAGGGACCAATCTGCAAAAGAGACGCATCAGTAGGGGCCAAATTAGATTATTGTGTTGTAATTTGTATCCCACGTCCATAAGAACCGCCTTATATCCTGCTAATAAGGTCGTTTATTAAATATACTCTCATCATTAAAGGAGCTCACAATTCACATGCACACCCCTATATATATATATATATATATATATGCACACACATATGTGGGTGTATATATTGTTCTAATCCGATTGAATGGCCAAGAAAATGTCTTCTAGTATCACAATTTTGCTTGTTATTTTTGCCCTCCAATGCGCCGTAACATTGGCTTCCGATCCTGACCCGGTTCAAGACTACTGCATACCAAACCCGAAATTCGGTGCCCTAAGAACAGCTTTTCACAACGTCCTCCCATGCAAGAACGCTTCTGAGGCCACCACTGATGACTTCATCTTCTCTGGGATGAAGGTGGCCGGAAACTTCACCGACATGGGCATCGCAACCATCTCGGTGAACCCAACAGTCTTCCCGGGGATCAACACGCTCGGGATGTCATTCATACGAGCTGACCTCAAAGTTGGTGGAATCAATCCACCACATTTCCACCCTAGAGCCACAGAGATATCCCACGTAGTGGAAGGGAGTGTTTATTCAGGGTTTGTTGATTCAGCCAATAGGGTTTTTGCTAGGGTTATTGAGCAAGGGGAGGTCATGGTGTTCCCTAGGGGTCTAGTGCACTTCCAGATGAATGTTGGCAAGAATCCTGCTACAATATTTGGTAGCTTCAATAGCCAAAACCCAGGAAGTCAAAAGATTCCCTCTGCCATTTTCGGGTCGCGGATAAACATTGAGCTCTTGGAGAAGGCATTTGGATTGAGTCCTAAGCAGATTGGAACGATGAGAAGAAAATTTGATCCAAAATGGGTGAGTTAGAAAGTGAGATTGAAGGGGAACTTTGCTCAATTGAGTTGCATTCTACGTTTGTTGGCCCCATAACCATGGAGGAGCGCTCTTCGTTGTTGCATTTTGTATCGATGATGTAATACAATGTAATTTCCGGTGCAAGAAGCTTGTAGTTCGGTTTGTTAAAAGTTTTTGCCTCTTCACTTTAAGTCCTAGTTTGATTTCCCCCTCTCCACTATCATTTGTATCAATAAACGAACAAAGAAATTCTGTGGTATATGAAATTTAAACAGTAAACACGGTGAATGTGCAAGAATTTTCATTACTATCGGTTCGAACAGCTCCACATCAAAATGTACCAAACAACAATCCTGGTTTCACACAATGGTTCTCGAATCCAACTTTCAAAATTCAATCCCTGAGAAGAAACTGCATTGTGATGCAACAATCTATAAGCATCATACATACCAAAATGATCAACTGAAATTTGTAACTCCGTATCAGAGAAACGCACAGAAAAGTTCACCCTGCGGTAGCTCATTATGTAAGCGGAAGGGTTTACTATCCGTCAGCTAAAAGTGCCTTGACAATGGTCTCGCACATCCCATCAGCATGTGGGAACAAGTGTCCAGCACCTGGTATCTCATGATAACGGATCCAAGGAAGCTGTTCAGCAATGTAGCGTTGTAGTAAAACAGGTACCATGCGATCATCATCTCCTTGCCACACGTGGACGGAAGCTTCATTGTTCGGGAATGGGTTTTCCAGTGCCAGAGGACTGAATTCCCAGGTCCCAAATCCAACATTCATGTCACGGTAAACGGTCTCAAACTCTCCTTGCTGTCTTACCTGTCCCTGAGGAATCCACATTGATAAACAATGCCATCTTAGAGAGAGAGAGAGAGAGAGCTTAAAAGTTGAAAAAGCAAACTTGATCTGTGATTAAAAGCTTCCATGAAAGCTTTATCTGTGATTAAAAGTTGAAAGGAAAACTGTACAGATAAGGCAGAGATCCAATTCTAGGGAAGAGAAAGCTTCAAAGTTCTCTCGTTGCTGTTCTGCAAAGAAAAGATAAAAAATAAAAAAAAATAAAAAAAAACCTATCCAGAGTTCACTAGGTGTCAGATTGATGCTCTGCTAGTCTTATGTTCACACAGCTCCAATGAAATTATCAAATTCTAGCTAATAATAATGCAAAGCTTCAAATTCTCTCATCGCTATTCCATGGAGGGAAAGAAAAATAAAATCTCGATTTCACCAGGTGACAGACTAGAGCCCTGCAATACGTTCTTACAGTTCCAGTGAAATGCTAGGACCAACCAACTGTTAAAAATAACCAGCAGGCTTGCAAGATCTCCATTGTTGTAGTGTAGGCTTCCCAGTAGATTCAATTGTAAGATGACAAAAACTTTATTCTTTATTAACAGCAACACTGAATCAGTATCAACAGTATGGCTAACCAAGTAATACCTCTGCCCACATGCGAGAGGTCTTGAATTCAACCACAGGAGGGGAATAATTAACTGGACACATGCTATTGAACTAAACATAGAAAACAAGTCCGGGATATAGCTCCTTATTTACTTCACTATACATCAACAGTATTATATAATCCCCACATTAAGCGATTCAATTTTATTTATTTCAGCATAAAATCAAGATGGAAAGAACTAACCTAATCCTTTGTTATAAAAACTAGCCTAATTTTCAGACAGCTAGCAAGGATATGTGCCTACCACAGATTATCGAACTAAATTTATAAATTCAGTATCTGTAAATATCAAATTTAGCTAATTTCATTATGAAATGGAGTCATTAAAAATTCAAAAAAAAAAAAAAATCTAGGAATTTTCCAAAATTTGGGTACATACCACAAGTGGTCGTCCTTTAAGAATAGTAGGCATAAGTTCTTTGTCTTGGTCAGAAAGACAATCGCTACTCTGAGCCATAACACTTGAACCAGGAAACCATTTTTGAGTGTTCCAAAAGTAGGTAAGCCAAGGGGTGTAGTGCGACACACGAACTGCCCATTGGTCTTGCAGAAGCTGTTGGGAGTAAGCTTGACTGGATAGATTTGCAGGAATACCAGTCCACCAATAGTTAACCACGGGCGCTAAAAGTGCTGCTCCAGCAATCCTGTTACCATTCACACCTAGCACAAGTTAATACATATCTCCTTTCCAACAACCAACACACATACATGCAGAAACTGTTCACTTCCATTCCCGTACAAATATCATACCTGTGAGGGATGTACTTGAGGCAGCTCCAAATCACCTGTCCGCCCATGGAGAAACCAATTACATAAAATCTGTGTCCTAAACCTAATTGATCAGCCAGCTCCTCTATATCTGAAGCCATGCTCTTCACTGTTCGCTTTGGATTAGGATCACTTTCTCCATAACCAGGTCTGTCAAAAGACACAACATAGATCCTCAAGTCTTTCACAGTTTCCTGGGTGAATTTACCATAGGTTAAAATGTTATTACAGGAAGCACTAGGTACATACTAATCAAATCATAAGATAGATACCGAAGACATGGTTTCAGCAACGACCGCATCATGCCTGCAACTATCAACACCATGGACAAAAACTATTTTATGCTGTGCATTATCTTTTGGGACTCCATGCTCTTTGTATGCCAAATGCCTTCCATCCCTAAGTTTTATTCTTGGTCCTGTAACAGGAGGCCCATCAGGAGAGCCACATATCTTCGATGGAGGAGGTTGGATCACCTGGTATGCCCACGCCGATAATCCAATAAACAACGCTACTAGTGCCGTCTTAAAAATCCCTGTAAACTTTTAGATTTAAATGAATCACAATACAGAGATTGGAGAAAATTTCCACTAAAATATTTCAGCACAAAGAAAGAAAGGACCAACTTTTCAAGTTCATGCTTTGAGCATTAATTCTGATTTCAAAGACATACATAAATATGATAAGACACATTTAGAACAAATTCTTGGAAGTTAACAAGAAATTAAGAAAATGTTTGGTATCCTTCTTGGGTTCAACTTATTGTTTTTGAAACCAATGTAATTTAGCTACTTCATCATTTTTGAAAGCTATAAACTGATTTCAAATAGAATACCAAACAACCCCTAATGAAATGGTGAAAATACTATAAACAATCGTAGTCCGTGATCATTGAAGTAATGTTCGAATCAAGCAGCATGAATTTGCATTTTGATATGTCCATAAATCATATAGGCCATCATATTTCAGAGTAGGATATAGAAGCGAGATATTCAACACAGGAAAAAAAATTAAGAAAGCATGCACTCAGTTAATGCCTTTAGATGCTTGTTAGCTTTCTGCTTAAATGCATGAATGCCGTTAGTTTTATATTGATATCCAGAATCCAGATTAAATATAAACATCTTATATCAGGCGGTCGTTATTTGAATCTCACTGTGGGACGCAGACCAACTACCACAAGGAGAAAGAAACAATTTCAGTTTTATTATTTTGTTTTCGACAAATGATACAATCTCAAAGATCACACTGCTAACACTAGTTACAACTACTTCTTTTCCACTAATTACTTTTTTTTCGGTACATTGAAGTGGATTGAACCATGACCTATCCTAGCTCTAACCCAACATATCACAGCTTAACCTGAAGGGCACAAATTAAACTTTCAACGGTATGTTACATGATGCAACAATTAATAAATTTCAAAATTTTCTTATTAAAATACTCGGCCAACCTAATCACAGATAATGCTTGCTTAAATAAAGTTCTAAACTTTATTAAAACCCAAATTATGAAATTGCAGGAAACAAACCGAATTCTTGCATTCCGGTCCTGCATTTTCTCATCAAGCAAACAGAAATTGGTACTAAATTACAACAGAACAAGCTACAACGAACAATCGTAATCAATAATTGGAACCCTTAATTAAAATTACAAAAGTTGAAATAAAAAGGGGAAACGAAGGAGGAAGAAAACACACCTGCCGGAAGCTGGAAGGAGCTGTTTTGCTTGGCTCTTCGGGTGTGAGCTCTCGCCGACGCGGCCGATATCTTCCTGTTCACTCCTACCACCATTTTCACCAGCCCACGAGATCAATCAGAGATTCGATACTCAGGGTTTAGTCAGAGAGAGGAGCGTGTAACGGGTGACGAGACTCTGCCTGCACGGTGTGTGTTGTGAGTTGTGACCGTGTGTGTGTCAAATTACACAAAACTACGGGAACTTTAAGAAAAAATTATCGCCTTGTTTATTTTAACGAAAAATCATATTTTTACATTAAAAAATTAATTTTGATTTACTGTACCTTTATTTTATTTTTATCATTAAAACTCAAAGTTTTCAAGTTATTTTCATTAGTTTTCCTCAAAATCATCTCAATTTTGGATCGAACCACGATCTCATATTTCATGTTTTAAACATTGCAATGTCAAACTTTAACTTATAAAATTCATTGTAGTTTCAAACCTCCGTTAAATTTTCTGTCAATTTAATAGTTAAATGATGACGTAATAGGAACGAAGCCCGCTTTTCGTTGATATTTCTTTATTTGAAAAAAATAAGATTAATTAAAAAAATGCAGAAAAATCAAGGATCAACAGGAGTATGCATAAAAATAAGATTAACTAAATACGCACTCATCTTTATTAAAAGGAGTATGCATAAAAAGAAAAAGTAATGTGAAAATTTCCCAAAACAAGTCATCATATATTCCTTTCTAGTGGAAATAACTTAAATAGAAAGAGTGATAGAGTGCTAAGTTTGCAAAACCATTTTAAATGTTTAGATGCTTGTAGTTATTGGGAAATTTCATTTTGGAGGCCAATTGTGACATATACATGCAAGTTTAAACGTATACGAACAAATTTTGAACTTTCGTCTTGTACATAGCAATTTTTTTGGGGTACAAGAACACGATTATGCGGCGTTACTGTTCTACTCTTAACACGTGAATTTGTTTTTACATACACACACATAAAGTGGGATATATCAAGTTATTAATTATGTTGTCCACTCTTGTTATAATACATAAAATAATATACCATGTGACCTATGTTGGTGATATTGATAAATGTTTTTCTCGACGTACAAAAGTTATTGCATCTCGTATCGATATTGCACTTCAATGTAATTTCTGGTGCAAATTTGTAGTTTAGTTAGTTAAAAGTTTTTACGAAATTTAAACACGGTGAACGTGCAAGAATTTTCATTACTACCGGCTCGAAAAGCCCACATACAAATGAAAGCCCACATACAAATGTACCAAACAACCATCCTGGTTTCACACAGTAGTTCTCAAACCCAACTTTCAAAAATCAATCCCTAAGAAGCAACCGCATTGCGATGCAACAATCTATGAACAGAGCTGACTGGTACAAGACCTATCATACATACCGAAATGATCAACTGAAATATCGTGACTCCGTAACAGCGATGCACAGGAAAGTTCACCCTGTGATTATGTAAGGGGAAAGGTTTACTATCCGTCAGTTAAAAGTGCCTTGACAATAGTCTCGCACATCCGATGAGCATGTGGGAACAAGTGTCCAGCACCTGGTATCTCATGATAGCGGATCCAAGGAAGCTGTTTAGCAATGTAGCGTTGTAGTAAAACAGGTACCATGCGATCTTCATCTCCTTGCCACACGTGGACGGAAGCTTCATTGTTGGGGAATGGGGTTTCCAGTTCCGGAGGACTGAATTCCCAGGTCCCAAATCCAACATTCATGTCACGGTAAATGGACTCAAATTCTCCTTGCTGTCTTACCTGTTCCTGAGGAATCCACATTGATAAACAATTAGATGATAGTTGTATTTTTCGTAATACATATTCAGTACCTGTGCCTACCACAGATTATCAAACTAAATTTACATATTCAGTGTCTGTAAAATATCAAAGTTAGCTAATTTCATTACAAAATTGTTTCATCAGATATTCAAAAAAATAATAATTCTACGGAATTTTCCAAAACGTACCACATTTGGTCGTCCTTTAAGAATCTTAGGTATAAGTTCTTTTGTCTTGGTCAGAAAGACAATCTTTACCGTGAGCCAGATGACTTGAACCAGGAAACCATTTTTGAGTGTTCCAAAAGTAGGTAAGCCAAGGGGTGTAGTGCGACACACGAACTGCCCATTGGTCTTGCAGAAGCTGTTGGGAGTAAGCTTGACTGGATAGATTTGCGGGAATACCAGTCCACCAATAGTTAACCACGGGCGCTAATAGTGCTGCTCCAGCGATCCTGTTACCATTCACACCTAGCGTAAGTAAATATATATCTCCTTTCAAACACACACACACACATGCAGAACCTGTTCACTTCCATTCCGGTACAAATATCCTACCTGTGACTCTGTGAGGGATGAACTTGAAGCAGCTCCAAATCACCTGTCCACCCATGGAGAAACCAATTACATAAAATCTGTGTCCTAAACCCAATTGGTCAGCCAGTTCCTCTATATCTGTAGCCCTGCTCTTCACCGTTTGCTTTGGATTAGGGTCACTTTCTCCATAACCAAGGTCTGTCAAAAGTAACACCATAGATCCCCAAGTCTTCCACAGTTTCCTACACGAGATACATACTGATTAATCATAAGATAGATACCGGAGACATGGTTTCAGCAACGACAGCATCATGCCTGCAATTATCAATACCATGGACATAAACTATTTTATGCTGTGCATTATCTTTTGGGACTCCATGCTCTTTGTAGGCCAATTGCCTTCCATCCTAAGTTTTATTCTTGATCCTGTAACAGGAGGCCCATCAGGAGAGCCACATATCTTCGATGGAGGACGTTGGATCACCTGTTATGCCCACGCCGATAATCCAATAAACAACGCTACTAGCGATGTCTTAAAAATCCCTGAAATTTTTTAGGTTTAAATGAATCACAATACAGAGATTGGAGAAGATTTCAGCACAAAGAAAGAAAGGACCAATTTTTCAAGTTCATGCTTTGAGCATTAGTTCTGATTTCAAAGACATACATAAATACAATAAGATGCACTTAGACCAAATTCTTGGAAGTTTACAAGAAATTAAGGAGATGTTTGGTATCCTTCTTGTGTTCAACTCATTGTTTTTGAAACCAATGTAATATAGCTACCTTCTTCATTTTTGAAACCTATAAACTGATTTCAAATAGAATACCAAACAACCCCTAAATAAATGGTGAAAACTAAGATGGTTGTAATGATTACTTAGAAACCCATTGTGCAGTCACATGCAAGGCCTTGTGAAAATACTATAAAGAATCATAGTCCCTGATCATTGAAGTAATGTTTGAATCGAGCAGCATCAATTTGTATTTTGATATGTCCATAAATCATATAGAGCATCATATTTGAGAGTAGGATATACAAGTTAGTTATTCAATAACAATAACAACAAAGCCTTATCTCACTATGTGTGGTCGACTATATGAATCCTAGAACGCCATTGGCGCTCAATTTTGTGCTATGTCTTCTGTTAGACCCAAGTAGTCCAAATCTTTTCTTAGAGTCTCTTTCCAAGTCTTCCTAGATCTTCCTCTACCCTTTTGGCCCGGAGCCTTTGTTTCATGATTGCATCTTCTAACCGGAGCGTCTGTAGGTCTTCATTTCACATGTCCAAACCATCTTTAATCGATTTCCTCTCATCTTATCTTCAATTTCGGCTATTCCTAATTTACGTCGGATATTATTTTGCTTTCGACAAACGATACAATCTCAAAGATCACACTGCTAACACAATCGTAAATTTGAAGTTTATGCAAGTCAAGACCACTCCTTTTCGAATAATTACTTCTTTCCGGTAGATTGAATCGGATCGAACCATGAGTCATGACCTATCCTAGTTCTAACCCAACATATCACAGTTCAACCTGAAGACACAAATTAAACTTTCAATGGTATTGCACGAGATGCAACAATTAATAAAAAAGAAAACTAATAAAAAGAGCTTGAGTTTTAATGATAAAGACAAAATAAAAGATAAAGAGATTAGTACCAGAATTGACTTTTTAGTGTAAAAATGTGGTTTTTCGTTAAACTAAACAGTACCGAAAGCATTTTGTTATACATGAGATGCAACAATTAATAAAATTCAAAATTTTCTAATTAAAAAAAAAAAAAAGAACCCTCTGAATAGTCTTGTAAATATAATGAAAAACTCGGCCAACCTAATCACAGATAATGCTTACTTAAATAAAATTACAAAAATTGAAATAAAAAGGGGAAACGAAGGAGGAAGAAAACCCACCTGCCGGAAGTTGGAAGGAGCTGGTTTGCTTGGTTCTTCGGGTGTGAGCTCTCGCCGACGCGGCTGATATCTTCCTGTTCAATCCTCCCGCCATTTTCACCAACCCACGAGATAAATGAAAGAGGTTCGATACTCAGGGTCTAGTCACAGAGAGAGAGAGAAGTGTGTAAACGGTGACGAGGCTCTGCTTGCCACTGTGTGTTGTCAGTTATGACTCTGTGTTGCGATGCGAAATGGTAATTTGCATGATAATAAAAGTCCATTACTAAATAACATAGTCCAACGGTCTATTTATATTTCTCTTCGTTTACAAGTAAGAAGTTTTAAATTTAATTATCGTCAAAGACGAATTTGAAACATATTATTACTATTATATTGTGAGGTTTAATTCATTTTCCCACTAATTAATGTAGATAATATATTTTGTTAAAAAAATACTGACAAATGATATCATTTGCAGCTAACTAAATGAAATGAACCATGCCACTTAAAAAAAAACATCTCCAACTGGCTAGTTAAATGAGACTTTTTACCTATTTAACGAACAAAAAAAAATGCAAAAAAAAATCAAACGTGAACAGGCTAGATAAATACACACTCATTTTTATTCAAAGGAGCATGAGCATCCATAAAAAGAAGTAATGTAAAAATTATTTTACTCTAGCACGCGAATTTGTTTTTATAAGTAAACACTTAAAGTGGGATATATCAAGTTATTAAACAAATTGTTCTATCTTATTATAATACATAAACTGATATACCACATGACGTGTATCGGTGATATTGATAAAAAAAAGATTTTCTAGCTTGAAAGTCTTCGCTGATGTCAACTTCCTGTTGGTTGCTAAATGCTTTGGAGTAGCCATTAGGATTTTGATCCAAATGTTTTCATTAGAGTTGAGAAATCAGCTTGTGGGCTGGGACATTTTTCATCTGGACGCACATAATTAATTACCAT